ATGCACACAGAACATGGAATAAATACTAGGTACCTAAATTTGCGAATAGGCAATTAGTGTTTGTATAAGTTTGACCTAAGTTATCGTAACTTTGTGTGAGAAACATCGTTGAATCGAAGTAGAGAATAATTCAGGAACTTAGAACTCACCACCTTGAAAATTGAAATTAATACGGGTTGAAAAAAGTCTGAAACATTATTATTATTTTATTATTAAGATTTTTGGCTTGGATGCTTGTCCTTTTAGCCATAATTCTGGAACATTTTGTACGTAAGCACGAATTAAAATAGATACAAGAAAATTATTATTTATATAGAAATTGTGTCAAGAAATAAAGCGAAGAAAAGTGATGAAAACTCAAATATTTCTAAAATCAGATAATCTTACATTCCTAGAGACAAACTTAAGGTGATTGCTAAAGAATGATGTTATGAATTGATAACGTTAAATAAGCCAACATACTTGTCTCCTGTTGTCTCGTTTTAATCGCAAATCGGTTTAGTATGATGGACCTTGAATTAGCCTCTTAAGGCAGTTTCTTAAATAAATACATCTAGCAACAACAGTAAAGTCGTGGCAAACATACGATACATACACATTGCATAAACAATACTGTAACATTAAACCTCAAGCAGATATACGCAGAAGGACTCAGCTATATTCTCTCTCGTTAAGGCGATTATACAAATTTAGACTCTATTTTAAATTGCACACTGACCCACCTCTATAAACTTTTAATTGCGATAAATATTTGTAATGCTGTATAAAAATATTAAAGGAAAAATTGTCACTTTAGGATTACCCTTAATATAACATTCATAATTAATTCAAAATACCTATTAGCGTGTATTGTACATTTTTACAATGAGATATCCGAACTCTATACTTAACTAGCATACAGTGACGTAGAAGCCTAGTTCACAACAAACTACACACGACATTACTTTATAGAATGTAAACTTTAATACAGCCATAACTTTCTATAATTAATGCAAAGTTGCAAGGGAGATGTAATATGAAAAATTCTTATGTAACATATAAAATTACATTTGACTATTTACATCAATCTAGCAAATTACCTATTTTTAATTGTTAATGATTGTAGCGGTACTCTATTCGTTAGGTAAGTACCTAGTTTGGCGTCTAGGGCTCCAGTGGCATGCATGGTACACTAAGAAATTCGATTAAGCTAAACAATTACTTACATTTTAACTTAAGCATGAGGTGGTATTATCAGTACATGCCGTAGCAGTAGGTATTTAAATAAATTTACGACAAATCACGCCGCTTGGCCGAATAGTCCTTTAGATATATTAGTATACTTTCTTTTTGGACAGACCACAATTACTTTGATTTATAAATAAGCTATCGTGCACAACCATCACAAAGTTTTATTTCATTGCTTTTATATAGCATTTGCCGTAATATAGCATAACGTTTACGCAAATAACTACAGGCTTCTTAAGGCTTTAGAAGACACCTTATGTTCATAAAATGTGCTTATATTTGTAACGTTAAATATTAAGACCATAACAATATTTTTCTCAAAACTAATTATACGACAATTTTTAGATTATTAATATTGAATTTAATAGGTATGGATATCCCTTATATAAAACGATTTTTTAATGTTCTTTACTTTGGCGATGCGTTAATATAAAGTTTTGTAATTTTTAAATATAATTAAATTATCAAGATTTGTTGATATATTAAATATCTATGTTAATAAAATAAATAAATATTAAATTTTTATCACGTTTCTGACAATAGTAGTTTTAGTACTATTTCCGAGAAATTGACAGTAAGTATTATAAGCAAAATATTTAAGTGTTAAATTTTTATTTTCGTGACCATGTGAAATAACCGCTGAGCCTTTTTGTACTTTTTGTGGGTAATTTTGTTTTACGGACTACGTAGGCGACTACAAAAATATGGCAGTATGTTTGGATTCAATTCCTTTACAAACTAATTTTTTTCCATTTTGGACCAAAATGCAACTTTATTCACACACTCGAATCATAACTCAAAAAAAAAAACAATGTACCCACATTAAACCTATTATATAAGGCCGGCATTGCCTATTCTATTCGAATGATGGTATGACTTTCTAATATATGACATGAATATATTTTATATACAGGTTGTTTGAAAAAATATGTAGTCTTTTGGCATTACAAAAAGACTTATAACAGCTGTCAAATAATTGAGGTATTTTTATAATTTCATACAAATATTACTTAAGGGTTACTACTTAGCGTGTTCATATGCGATTCACCATGATTCTCCAACGTTACTGCCTTAAATACCTTTTGGTGTTCATCAAACATCTTGTAAATTAGCTTTTAGTAATGTAATTATTGCGATACGTTCGAAATTCTAAAGTAGAATTTTACTATTTATGAAACTAACCATGATGATGTGAATGACTAATATCTAGTAAATTCTAAAAACGCTACCATAATGAACTGCATGTAGTTGTCGGTATACGCATTCGAAGTAAAATTGCTTCATCTCACGCAGTCAATTACAGTGTCGTCTTATCTAATACAATGGATAAACTATGAAGAGTCCACAATTGTCAAAGCACCCGAAGTTAACACTTAATACATCGCAGGCTTTAGAAGCCGTATATATATTTTTAATAACAACGACGTTTCGAAAATAATATCACACATTTACAGCAAAATTACACTTTGCACATAGCGTTCCTCGCAATATATAACCATTTGCCTAATGATTACTCATCATATTTGCAGTGGCATATATTATCTTCAATTATATTCATTTCAGTTCTTAGTCTTTTTATTGTGCAGCGCCATTAATCACGTCCACTTTGACAATACCCCGTCCAACGTTAGGAAAATGTGTAAAAGAAAACTCAAATAAAAACAAAAAAATAATATTTATTTAAAAATAAAAGTACTAAAGAGGTGAAGATCGATAGTAAATAAAAAAGAACGGTAATAGTTGACATTTTGTGTGCAGAGATAGATAGATAGATAGACAGATATAGCAGAAAGCGCTGAGTTCAGACCTGCACAGAAAATTCGCATCTACTACAGTTGGCCTAACTTACGCAAGAGAGACTTAATATATATATATATATATATATATATATATATATATGTGTGTGTGTATGTATAAAAACTAAAAATAACCAACACCATGAGCAATGGAACCATATGCAGACCACTACCGTACCGTGCAATATAATTGTAGTGAGTTGAAAGTAGAGAAGTCTTAAAATCTATAAATGAAAAAGAAAGCTACAGTGAAACTTAAAAACAATATCGATTAAATCACAATATGCTTATGTGAAGATGTATGATTTTTTTAAATATACATCAATCAGTCGATGAGTATTTAAATGCTTATAATAATTTCTAAAATTTAATTTTCAAAAAGTCCTTAACCATGAATTGCGAATATTCTACAGCTTAAGGAATGGACGATTTAAAAAAGTAATAATCGATATTCAATACCTTAACATATGTTTTGTAACTATATTTTAGCGATTTTGCAATTAAAAGTTTAAAAGGTTCGCTTCATAATATAAAACGGAAATAATTAAAGACCAGATTCATTTCAATCTTTTGAAACTAAAGCCTAGCCTTAGCGCATGGATTCTAAACTGTGCAAAGTGCATGGAATCCGAAAGACATATACAGGTTGGTAAATACTTGACAATTGATAAACATAGCACTAAGTTACCGTTATTGGCTTGGCGCATCTAGGTATATTGAAACATCGAAAGCTTTCCTAATCATCTAAATGTTTCAAGTTTGGAACAACCTGTACCTATATCTATCGGTTTCATGTCTTGCACAGTTCCGTGTATCGACAGAATCCCTTCCTAATTTAAATTTCCGTACCATTATTGTGTTGGAAAGTCAATGTTAAAGCGAGACTATTATCAGATTGTAGTCTTCTAACAGAGAGTCGTGCGTTCAGAAAGTGTGAATAGCGGTGCAGTGTCCAATTGTAAAAATAATTTCAGGGTAAAACGAACGAAAATTGTAAACAAAAGGGCTTTGTATAGTTTAAGTTGTAGGAGGGTAACAAGGATTCACTATCTACACTATTGATTAGGCTTTTGTACTCTGGAGTCGTTCGGATGAACTGATTATTTTAAGAACGCGTTTTTATTCAGCAGTTCTTTGTTATCAGCTTCGGTCAGTTCAGCACGAATTAAAACTGTTAAAGTAAGATCATGCTCCATTCAAATGTCATCTTACAATCATTCATTGTAATTACATTAATTACCTAACTCTTAAACTCGCATAAAATCATTAATAAGCACTTCTCACCGCAACTTTATAACAAAAAAAGTACCTATTAATGGAAAAAATTGAGAAGAAATGTAAATTTAATTTTCAATGGAAAATCTAGTTAAAGAGTTTAAAATTGAACTCCTATCATAATGTTATTTTTCAAGTATCAAAAAATCGTAACTACAGTTTAAGAACTGAAAGTTTGCTTTTCATACACACGGACAACATTTTAAATGAGAATTGTTTACACGGGTGACCAGATTCGTGCTGAACTGATCTCATAACTCATCGAGTCTGGAAGAAACCAATTATCGATCAGTTTCATATTAGGAGTCTTATACACCGATTTCGATTGGTCGACTGAGTGAATGAACTGCTGAACGATTTACGCAAACGATTCGAACGACTTATGCACAAATACTCAAACGCTGTTAAATTTTAAGATGCCGTTAAATCTCGTGCTGTCTCTATCACTTTAAATCAAAGTGATTGTGACACCACGAGCTCTAACGACATCTTAAAAATGAGTAGCGTTTCAGTATTTGGCAATTTACCAAGTTTGATAAGCCTACTATGGAAAACGGCGTGGAGGGCTTGAAGTAGTGAATGTGTAGAGGGTAGGAAGAGGTGTGAGGGGTGGGGTGTGGGGCAGGGTTGTCCGTGTGGCGGCGGCGGGCCCGCCTAGATGTAGGAGTAGGGCCCGTCGGTGAGGGCGCTGCACAGCAATAGTCAGGAGGCGTCGTCCTTGGCGGGCGCGGCGCCGGCGCGGCGGCTGGCGCGGTACTCCACGCCCGGGTCGAACTGCATCAGCACGAACACCTGCACCACAACATACACGATAGTACAATGGAATCATTTTTTATTCAATACTGGCTGGTACCAGGCGCGTCGCCGCTGCAGAAAAAATAATTGTTATTAATATTAAAAAGTCGAAATATTGTTTTAAATTTGGAATATTGTTAAATTAGGAATGATAAAATACAACAATTGAAATAGAATGATAAATAACTTTCAAATAAAATTGCCGGTACACGCGCCACCTACTGCACCATTTACTTTAATTGTACTATGCGTATGACCTTCGCGTATGTGCTAGCAATAAGTTGACAAAGTTTTACCGCAATCCGATTAACGGTATGGCAGCATTTTGTGGTATTAAAATGTTTACAAATATTAGGTATGTTAGCACACGAGACCTTGTTGGAGTCCGTAGGTACATCTACTGAGTCAAATAAAAACTTTAAAGTAAAATGTCGACGCGTACATAATGTGTTCGATGTAAACAGAAAACAGCGCATAGAATACGAATAAAAAACATAATTTTTTATATATTAGATAAATTACATGTATGTTATTTTTATTCAGAAGTAATTTTTACTATTAAACACTGGTTCGAAAAAAAAACTTTTTCTCCTGGGAAGAACCGCAGCGGGACTTTATTTTACACTTTTTTAACATACGCGCTGTAATTACTGCGTAAGGACAGGGCGGACCACGCGTTAAAATGACGCCATCAAAAAATTCTGTGTATATTACCAAACGGGCACTACGGTACTAATATATTGCGCAGTACTAATACAGTTACGGTCAATTCTCCGTAACTACTTTAGTCAATTACGAACGGTGTCACATACGTATTGTAATTACTGTGTAAAGATTGGGCAAACCGTGTGCGTTAAATGGCGCCACCAGACTTCTTGGCGCCATCAGACTCTACGGTACCAATATATTGCGCACTAAAAGTAGAGTAACAGCCTATATACGTCCCACTGCTGGGCACAGGCCTTTCATTTCCAAGAGCATCCGAATGTCAAATATATTCTCACGTATATAAGTATTTAAAAAAATCCATTCGATAGGCATTTAATTGAGTATTTCATATTAATATGCGCATATTTTTTCCGAGCATATTCTATTTCAGTAAGTATCAATTCTCAGGCTTTAAAACCGAGTCAAAAATAGAATGTTTTGTCTATCCTGACCTTAAGTAAAGAACGTAGTGTGTGAGTAAAGTAGTGTAGTGTTCGCAACCTGGTCGGTGGGCAGCAGGCAGAAGTCGTCCGGCGGGTTGGTGATGACGTAGCGTTTGCTGCTGGCGTCGCACGAGGAGGAGGTGTCGCGGAAGCGGTAGAGGCCGATGCACAGCATGCCGTACGTGCGCAGCGCCGCCACGAACAGGTCGCCGTACTTGCCCGCCTCGCCGAACTGCGCCAGTGGCCCGTCGTACAGCGAGATCTGCCCCACGCGGCACCGGTCCCTGCGACACCACACAACCTTACAACCTCACCGTTCACCGCCGCTCACAAACAACAACTACTGTTTCATTGTGAGCGCTATATAGTGTGCTGTCTGTACTGTTATAAAAATAAGAACTGACTTTTTTTTTATAGAATAAGGGTGACAAACGAGCACAATGTTAACTTGACGGTAAGTGGATGTTGTTGCCTATCTATCCTCGATTGAGATACAAAATGCAGATACATAGTCACCCCTGAGGACTAAGATGGAATGCCTGGTCTCCGGTTCTCTACACTTACCATACGAATTTTTAAATTTATACGTGCTAGAGCCATGCTGCAGCTATATTCGATCGAGCCAACCCATTCGTGCTACAACTATACTACTAATGTAGTATAGTTGTAGCACGAATGGGTCGGCTCGACCGGGGTAGGACGACGCTCTCACAGAATATCAGCGTAAAATAGCAGCTTAATACTGCTATGTTACGTATGGTGAGTGTAGAGAACCGGAGACCCTTTTTACTGCAAAAGAGGCATTCCATCTTAGTCCTCACGGGTGACAACGCATCTGCATTTTGATTCGCATACGAGGATAGATGTAAATGTCTATGGGCCACAGCAACCACTTACCATCAGGTGGACTGTGTGCTAGTTTGTCACCATATCCTATAAAAAAAAACAAAAAAAACGAAACATGGCAGCTAATTAGGCATCCACGACTTTTTCTGCCACCAGGGCGGCGCCACTTAAAAGTGAGGTATAATATTTGATTTGAATTTCATAGCGGGAAAGTTAATTTGTTCGAATAATGTCAAATTTAATGTTTCTTTCTGTACTATTAGCTATATTTTTATATTATTAAGATTAAAAATAAATAAGCAAAATCACAGATATTCATAATAGTATAAAAATTAAAAAAAAGGTTAAAAATGTGGAAAAAATTAAAGGGCAAACCACTGAGGCATTGTTTTGTGTATTAATATAATCCTCTAGAAACTGATAAAATTTTATTAAAAACTAACTGCTTGATTAAATGACATTGTGTAAAAAAAAACTTTACCTCATTGTCAACTAGCGACATCTGGTGATCGGAATATTATTAGCCCTCATCAAGCTGCTATTTTATGCTGGTATTCTGTGAGAGCTTGGTTCTACCCCGATCGAGCCGACGGATTCGTGGTACAGCTGTTATATACCTTTAGCATGGCTCTATCACGTATGTGTAGGTATGTACTTTAATTAATAATAATAATGTTTTCCACATCGAATTTTGATCACGGCGGCAAGTCTTAACAGAACTAGCCATCTGCCAAGACAAGACAAGATAATAAATACACGAGTGTGTGCGCGTAGGTGCACAGAATAACTATACTCTCATTAGTTTGATGGGACGGCGATCAGACAAAACCGAAGAATTAAAGCGCAGGATCAACAGTTTTACGTGCTTTCCGAGGCACGGGGGTAAAAAAGTCGACACGCTGCATCCCATCATGCGACTGAGATTCTTTGACAAAACTCTATTACTGAATTTGGCATGACCTATGAAGCACACTTCAATTTTTATCATTACATGAAACCACTGTATGATGGTCGCACAGCCAATGCTGCCACTTGTTTATAGGTAAGGTTTATAGGTGAGGCAAGTGTGACAGTGAGGCAAGTGTGACAAATGCAAATTTTGCGGCATAAATACGTTTTTTAGTTAAATGCCATTTCTTGAACTACGCAGGAACTTTTATGCTATCGACTATACCGACAGTTAAGTACATAGCTTCAACTGTTTTATCGACAGACGTCATTTTATCAAAACTACTCAACTGGCGAAAGCCCGCGCAATTTTAAGAGACGAATTTTTTAAGTGTTTCGATACGTCATTAAGTTATTTTAAACAAGCTAGAAGGTGATTGATAAATAATAATATTGGTACTTATAGTATAATATGTTTCTGTGATCAGAAATCCACTATTCTTTGAAATACGGATACAGTTGCACTTATCTCACCATTATCTAACATCGGTGTAAGTGTGACAGTGTCACGCTTACCCCGATCATTTTGTATGAAAATATCGTAACTAGTGACTTCCAAAAAAGGAGGATGCTGTTTACCTGTGTGTTCGTGTGTATTTATATTTAAATATTTACTTTTATATTTATATTTAAAAAACGAGCGAGCGAAGGGAGTGAGATCTCAGAGTCACGTTAAACGAATCGGTGTTTGTATGTCAGTAGGTACTTGTGATTGTATGTACATATGTCTGCATCATTTTGCATGCACGGTGATAACTTTTGAAAGACATCTGATCTCAATTAAAACTGGTAGTTTTTGAGATATGGAGGGGTGTGTCAAAAGGGGTGAAAAATATCAGTTCATGAGGTATGCTTTTGGTTTAACTCAACGAGAAGTCAGAGCTTTAGTTGACCAATATGTTCATCACAATGAAATTGATACTCCCATCAAAGATGGGATTCCGGAAGACGAGTGGTTAAGAACAAGGAACAAACTATCGATTAATAAACTTCAAGCCGTCAAATCGCAAGAAGAAAAGCTGCCGACTAGTATTTCCCAACAATTTCAACGATGTGCTTGAGACAGTCGTACAAAAGCAACAATTCAAAGGTGATCAAATAATGGAATGTTGATGAAACAAGTTTCTTCAAGTCCCATACCCAGGAAACTTGAAAAAAATAACTAGCCTAAAAGTTCTTCAAGCCACAAGAACCAATAGCCCACCAGGTCGCGATAATACAACTGTATTGTTCGCATGCAATGCCTGGGGCTAGAAACTTCCTGCGTTTATAATTTTTAAAAGAACGTATTTTTGGAATACATGGTTACCTGATGATAATTCGATTAATTCGGCACTTGCCGCTACGCCCAAAGGGTTCAGTCTTGGAAAGCTACTTTTCAAATGTACTGATCTCGGAAATATGGAAATCAGGCAATCCACACCTTGTAATATATGACGGCCATTCCACACACCTTTACTTAAATGTTATTATAAAGGCTAATGAAAACATCATTCTTCCCATATTTTGCAACTAAGCAGAATTAAAGTTATTTTTCACTTAGCATTGTTTTATTATACTTTCAAGACATTCAGGGAAAGTGTGACATAAATCCATATATGAGCACATCACTATATCGGTTAAAACTGTCACACTTACCCAATGCGTAGAAAAATCCATTGTTACACAAAAATAGACGTTCATATCGTTCAAATAGATCATAAAATCATAAAATATATTGACATTAGTATCATCTCATAAATTTTCTCGAAAACTACAAATAATAATAAAGTAACTACAAATAGGAGCGTACTGTCTCACTTGCCTCATTGATGGGGTAAGTGTGACAGTCTTCCACCTTAATTAGTTTTAATTACCTCCAATTACAAAATGCTAATCATAGATACTAAAATGCTTGATCAAACAAACAACCACTTAATAATTGATGTTCTGAAACGGATTATCTATGTTAAACCCTTACAGAGTAACAGTATTTAAATGTTCATTTTAGTTTTAATTAATTTATGTCACACTTGCCTCAGGTGACTCTACTAGCGGCCCCCAGTGGTCAGTATAACTTACTATGTTAGTTGTCACTGTGATTTAAATGGACCGGAGAAACACCATCACCATGGACAGGACGATAGTATTTCCCATTAATATATTTGCCTCCATTTTAATGTTATAACGATATATAATATAATATATGACACATTTCAAGTTTTTGGTAGATGTGATAGTATTAACTGAGTGTCAAATTGATCCTAAAAAAACCATACCACAGTTAAATAATTACACATCATTTACAACAACAAATCATTTGAATCGGTGTGACGGTGTTGTAATCTATGTAAAAACGGATTATAAAGTTAAGGTTACCGAGATCTTGCTTTCGGATGCCTCATGTCTTCAAATTACTATAAACGACCTGACTATCCTAGGGATTTATCGCTCACCATCAACTTCCGATGCAGAAAAATTCATATATTCACTAGATAAACATTTAAAAAACCTAAAAACATTTAAAACTATAATTCTTACGGGAGATATAAACATAAATATAACAAACAATGACAACTTACAGACAAACGAACGTAAAAATAAAATAAACTACTTAAACATGCTAGCAATGCATGGCATGTTACCAGGTCACACCATACCAACTAGAAACAATAATTGTTTGGATCATTTTATTTTAAAACTAAACAAAGCTAAAAATGTTGCGTCTATATACGTTATAAATACAACTATTACTGACCATAACATGATTTTTCTAAAACTAGCCAATATAAAAGATGTAACTAATTCCCCTAAAATAAAGACCTCTATCAACCTTCTACAAGCAATCGAATCCTTTAAGGGTTTGGAATTTCATGACATGCTATTACATAATAATCCCAATAGTCTTAGTGATGTGTTAATTAATAAACTGAGGCAATGTATTTTAACAAATACAATCACAACGACAATTCCATGTAAAAATCGCATATTAAAACCATGGGTTACAATGGGCATTCTTCGTTGTATAAGAAATAGAAACGATATGCAGAAAAAACTGAAACGTGACCCAAAAAATGAAATTCTACAAATAACATATAGACGCTATCGCAATCACTGTAATGCCTTGATTAAAACGTTAAAACGGAATTACGAAAGAGATCAACTAATTAAAAATAAAAAGAATCCTAGGTTACTCTGGAAATCTATAAATGACATCACGCATCGTAAAGTTAATAAATCAAATAATATAGGACTTCTTAACTGTAAATCAACCTCTAAAGAATCTGTAAATTACATAATTGCCTATTTTGCTAATATTGGCAAATGCCTAGCTGATAATATTTTAATGCGTCAAACAAATTGGGACACACTTTCTGATAATTCTAATGATATACACCCACCCTCTTCCTTTGTCTTATTAGAAACTGACCCGAATGAGGTCTACGAAATTTTAATGGGATTAAAATCGGACAGCGCTGCGGGCTAGGATGGTATACAAACGAAATTTCTGAAACAAGTTGGCAAAGAAATAGCCCCCGTTATTGCTCACTTAGCTAACCTCTGCATAGGACAGGGTATCTTTCCTACTGCGCTCAAACATGCTATTGTTACTCCGGTACATAAAGGTGGAGACAGAGACGAAACCACCAACTATAGACCTATATCAGTCCTTCCAGTTCTTTCAAAATATTAGAAAAAATTATAAATAACAGATTAATCAGCTTCCTAAAGAAATATCAATTAATATCTAACTCCCAATTTAGCTTTAGATGAGGAATATCAACAGAAGACGCTATAAGTGCATTAACGTCTCACATTACTGAAAATGTCGATAAAAATAAAAAGTGCATTACAGTTTTTCTAGATCTTCAGAAGGCTTTCGATACCGTCTCTGTCCCCATCCTTATGCGCAGATTGGAATCAGTGGGTGTCAGGGGTACTCCCCTAGCTTTGCTGTGTGATTATTTGCGTGATCGTAAACAGAGTGTTAGAGTTGGTGACTGTATCAGTGAACTGGCAGACACAACATATGGTGTCCCACAGGTGAGTGTGCTGGGACCAACGCTCTTCTTAATTTACATTAATAACCTTTGTAACTTGGAAATTCTTAATGGTAAATTATTTTCATCTGCAGACGACACCGCTGTAGTTTTCTCTGGTACAACATGGGACGAAGTACGTACAGGAAGGTCTGGCACGAATACCTCGTTGGTTAGACAAAAATTTATTGACTTTAAACGTCTCTAGGACCAATTATATATGTTTCACAAATTATAACAGTACTCATCCAAATTCAGACTTCCAAATAAAAATTCACTCATGTAACAATATCACCAACCAATATTGCTCATGTGATAGCATAGAAAAAACAACTAAAACCAAGTATCTTGGAGTAATGATTGATCAGCGCCTTGCTTGGAGTGCCCACATTGACCTACTGGTTGGCAGAATTCGCAAACTTACTTGGATTTTTAAGACTTTAAGACACGTTGCCGACGCAGATTTAATAAAACAAATATATATATATCGCTAGCCCAATCTATTCTTAATTACTGTATCACAGTCTGGGGTGGAGCCACCAAAACAAAATTTCTAGAACTAGAAAGGGCTCACAGATCTTTGCTTAAAGTGATTTATTTTAAACCTTATAGGTTTCCAAACGTCAGTCTATATTCCCACTGTGGCCTACTATCTGTAAGGAAACTTTACATTTTACACGTGATTTTAAAACTTCATAGAAAACTCCCCTACAACCCCCCTATACTAAATAAAAGAAGAATATTAAATGTTGCACCTGTAACCCATGTTAAAACTGCCTACGCCAGGAGACAATTTGGAAGACAATCCGCACGTATTTATAACAAATTAAATAAAATTCTTAATTTTTACCCAACAGCGACACATACAGCGCGCGCGCGCTTCACGTGCTCACACACATACATATTATTAACTTAAGTTGTTAAAGTTCTTTTGTTAAATTAAATTGTTCATTAATTCTTTTTGCGCTTCCTCAGGTAGCACTTAGTAATTAACTATAATGTTTCTTTTTGACCCCGTTTACTTTTAACTTGTGTTGTATTGTCTTGCTGTAGTTAATACTCACTGTAACACAATGTATCTTTTTGTAATCTTAAGAAGGAGCGGGGTCTCCTAACACAAGTATCATACTTAAAAGGAGATTCCGGCCATTAGTAATGTAACAATGATGTAAAAGATACTGAATAAAGATTTTTCATTTTTTCATTTTTCATATAATAGTCCTTGCAGAGAAAACTTTCTTTTTAAAAATATAGCGCGCACGGAGGTGTGTGAAATTTGGCATAGTTAAAGTTTATATAGGAAAGGAGTACCAAAATGTAGTTAAAATTTATAAATAACATGTGTTACAAATACTTTCAAGTAAATAAATTATATCACATGAAAACACGTTTATGCTGCCAGTGTCAAACTCATTAGTCCGTGGTGAAACATTTGTTCGGCGACGGTTTCTACGGTAGAGACTGTCGTCAAAGATTTATAAATGTTGCCAACAAATAACTGAAGGAGCAGCGATATAATGTCAATAGTCTGTGGAGTGTACATATTATAAACTATTACTAAATTAAATTACTAAATTAAATATAATAAATTAAAGCGAATGCGCTGTTCTGTGTACTACATATATATAGTCTTATTATTGTTCGAAAATCGGATAGTGATAGTGTTAAATATCTGTTTTTATATTAATGTGCAGTTGAAAGGTGAAATACAGCTTGTTTAATATATACACCTAAATATTTAATGAACAAGTTCAATAGTTTTAACACTTTTTTGAGCACCTCATTGTTGTGAGCGTCTACAGACCCCCATGTTCAATACACGATACTTTTGAAAAAATTATGGAGGAAGTTTTTGTTAAGCTTAATAAACAGAATAAATCTGTTGTAATATGTGGAGACTTTAATATCAATCTCCTAGAAGCTTCCTCCAATTTAGATCTTTGTCTTTTTAATTTATTTTTAGAGCCAACGCGTATTACTGAATGTAATGCAACACGTATAGATAACATTTTTATAAATGTTAAGCCGTTGCGTAAATGTATAATTTAAAATTGAGTTCTGATCACTGTGGACAGTTAGTTTCGTTACCTTATGTTCGCAAAAAACAAGTAGATGAGAAAGTTGTGTTTGTTCCAGTAAATGCACGTCGATTGGAGAAATTTAGAAGTAACATAGTGAAAAAACTTCCATCACTTTCATAACAAAATAATCCAATTATTTTTGTATGGAACATTGCTTAAGTTTATTTGATAATATTTTTACTTCGAAAACATTCTCCTTGAACAGTCGGAAGGCATTGAATGAATGCGCGACAGCAGGAGTTCATAAGAGCAGACAAAGGTTATATTATGAACTTTACCATGAAAAGTCCTATATTCCTAGCGTCGAATTTAGGGAATATGTAAAAAATATTTAAAGGAGTGTGCACCACAGCCAAGTCTTTGCATTTGAGCAACAAAATTGTAATAAAATTAAAATGACGTGGAATATAATTAATAGTGAAACTGGTAAGGTCAACTATAAACTTTTTAAATTATAAAGTCATAAATAATTTAGGATTAAGGTATCCCTAGATTCTGTTGATGTGTTTATATGTATATACATATATATAATTGTATTCACGTATGTTTATAATATAGCCTTTGTTGGATAAAGTAAATAGATAAATAAAATAAAGCGTTTAAGGCACTAGTCTGTACAATGTGGGGCGGTGCGGACAACACTGGGTCGTGCGGTACCTGTTGGCCAAGCTCTCGGGTGTGGAGTAGCCGCCGCGCAGTCCCGCGCCCTCCGCCAGGATCAGCTCCAGCTCGGGCGTGGCGCCGCCCGTGATCAGCGACCGGATCAGCGTCAACGCGTTCTGGTTGAAGTACGTCTGAGACACCACCACGGACACTTTTTACCATCCATTTCTTTTATCAATTACATCCTACACAAATCTACTGCTGAACACGGGCCTCCCCTATAGGTTTCCTCATACGGGGTTATGCCATAGTTGCCTCGCTTGGCAAGCAAGTTCGCGGTTCTTTTGCGGTTATCCCATTATTTATAGTTGGTTTTCAAGAAGATGCTGCTGCCCATCTCCTTTTTCAATTACCAGCTGTCGCCTCTTACGACGATATGGATATTCTTACGACGATATGGATATTCTTACGACGTGGACATTCTTGTGAAGTGGATATTCATCCACCGCCACTATACGCATTTTTTGACAGGATTATAGTGGCTGAGAGTACGCGCAAGTAATCTCTATTCCCTCACTCTCAAAGTCCATTGAAAAGGTAATCTGATACGATAAGTAAGAGATCAGGGGATAAAACAACGGCTATACGTGCTTTCCGAGGGACAGGGTCGAACTAATGCCAACTTCCTGACTCCAGGTTACTAAGAATTACTTATTGGAAAAAAATTAATAAATGATAAGGTAAGATAAGATGATTTATTTATTAGAATATGGTACATTTAAGTTGTTACAAAATAATTCAGATCCTAAATATTCTGCAGTTTCCTGCGTACAAATATTTTCAGACAGATTATGTTACAATTTAATAGAAAACCAAGATATTAATTATTATAGAATAATACTTACAACTATACTTAAGGAAACTAAGTAGCATCTATATAAAAACAAAAATGTCAATCAATTGTTCTGGCCAGATACGAGTTTTGAACTGGGAACCTCATGACCAACAGCCACGTTTTAGATTGATCACTAGATCAACTAAGTAGTACCTACTACGGGAAAAAAAACAAGCACTGCGAACGGACACTGCCAGCGGACAGTATTTTTAAGGCTTTTGTGGCGAACCACTTGTTTTTAATGATGATTAGGTTCTACTTACAGTAGACATAAGCGAGTCGAGCACGCTGACAGCAAACGCAGTTCCGCAGGCAAACGGCTGTGTTAGATACAGCTCGGTGTCCGGGTCGTCGTCGTCATCCTGATCCAGGAATTGCACATTGCTGTCATTCACCAGTTCTGTAACAGAGAGTCACATTTTTAAAGAGTTATAAAATTAAAATTACACAGAGTCCTCGTCTCGTAATTAACAAGGTATTAGCGCACAAATAACTCAGGCACACGGGTGTTCTCCACCGAATCCATGGTCATGGAGGGCTTTTCGATTAAAAAATTACATTATTTATACTTCGGTATTTCTGTAGTACAGAATAAGCGGCTGAGGAATCGAATAATTCGTAAACTAAATCTCCGACAGACAAACAGTAAATAAAAAAATAATTAAGGAAGCCCAAAAGACATTTTTGGAACATTCCATAAACACTAAAATTCAATTTACTATGGAGTTAGAGGCAAATAATTCTTTAGCTTTCCTAGATGTGTTAGTCATCCGAAATCCTAATAACACCATAGGTGACACTGTGTATATAAAAAATACCCATATAAACCGATATTTAAACGGTGAATCCCACCATCATCCTTCACAGTTAGCTACCGCGGGCAAATCTTTGTTACAGGGAGCACGAGGGATCTGTGACAGCAAAACCTGGCCACCGAGCTTCAGCACGTCAAGCAGGTTCTGTACGATAACAAGCTTCGGGTCCCGCGTCTACGTCACAGTGACCGAGTGAAGCCGGCCACAGTCGAGCGTGTGCCTGCTGTACTACCATTTGAGAGACTACCACAGAGATGTCACAGACAATATTGGCTACATCTTGAAGCGAGCTTCAATTAAAACATTCTGCAAGACGCCGAAGAATATTAGTCAGCTCTTACGATACGTTAAGTGTAATATCCCTCTACAAGATGCAGGAGTGTACAAGCTTGATTATGAATGTGGTCTCCCATATATAGGGCAAAAAAAATGATCTATCAAAACCCGCGTAAAAGAACAGATAGCTGATGTGAAACACCAACGTTCCGGGAAGTTTGCAGTTTGTGATCATTTCCTAGACGGCCCCCGCCATTGCATTAATTTGATAGACCACAAATTCTCGTGAAAGAAAATCGATTCCTGCCAAGGATGATACATGAGGCTATTGAAATTAAAAAAAACATTCTAATTTTAATAGAGTGGGAGGGTGGGTACTGCCACCTGCTTGGAATTCTGTAATTAAGAACATTAAAACTAAACCCAAGAATATCATTGCAAGACTTCAAGACACAGTTAGTTCATTCTGCGTAGATCGGATTAAAACTAATAAGTAAAAAGCTGAAGGTACTCCGGGTTAACTCCGACATCGGGCCGTTAATTACTTCAGTCCCCCATAACCATGGGTGCTGGAGAGCACCCGAAAAGTCGGGAGTTAAAAAATAAGAAAAATTAAACGCGATAAAATCCGCAAAAGTAGTTTTATTCAATGTGTAGTTTTCGCGAAAATATAAGAAATAATTAAAATGATATTTTAAGAAATTATGACCCTAATGTTCGTTACAGAAAAATTTGGTCTATGGCTTCACCGCCAACCAAGTTTTAAGGGATCAGACATGTTTGGCCCAAAGACTTTTCTATGCATACTACCAGATCGGCAGATAAGAACAAAAACCGTGTCACAGCTGTGGATCGCGGCTGGGCGCGTAGCTGGTACGGTAAATATGACGATTAGTTGTAGTGATTACCGGTGATCATGGGCACGTTGGCGCCGTAGACGGAGCCGCGGCGCTGCAGCAGCACGGGCGCCGCGGGCGCGGGCGCGGCGGGCGGTGGCGCGCCGTTGCCGGCGCTCAGCACGCCGATCGTGTCGTCGAACGTCATCGCCTTAATGTTCAACGAAGCCAAGATAGCCTCCTTGTCGGCCAGCGTCGGGTCGTCGTTGGACGGCACCTTCGCTGACAGGATGCAGCACATGTCGCAAAGGTTCACGTTCACTGCACGCAGGTCGGCCCGGCTTAGCGGTGAACCCTGTGATGGATAACTCAGGTTTTTTTTTATAGAATAAGCGTGACACACGAGCATAGTACAAGTAGTATGTTTTAATTTTTCATACAAAGGTGTAGAATCTCACAAGTGTTTTGTTTTTAATTATTTATTTAATAGTCAGTATGTTTTTCTTCTTTTTTAAAGAAACCATTAAAAAGGTTTTGTCTATAATACACAAGTATTCGTTCTTGTCAATATTTAAAAAAATCAAATTACTTAAAACTGCTCACATTTAAAACAGAAATCTTCGGTAGATTCTGCAACATCTTCCATTCTCTTCTAATATAGTCGACGCTACCAACGATGACGACGTGCTTTAGTTCATGATAGTGGAAATTGGAGGCTCTGAGCGGCATCACTAGATTTCTTAGCCCTATCAGCGGGGAGTCAGGATCCGCGAACAGACAAACTACCACGTGGCCATTTAAAACTGTCATGGCCGCTTGATTTCTGTCCTGTAATAATAAAAAAGTGTTTTGACAGATTTTAAACAAAAATGCGCAAGTATACAGGACAACATAGGTGAATAGGGATGCGTACTAATATACAATCCTCCAAATTCCTTGCAGGACTCCAATGAAACATCCCTGTGGAGTCATATTTCATTTCAGTCTTTTCAAAGTCGAAATCTTTCGACTGGTCGTCTGCCAGACCCGCTGGTAGACTCACGCCATTGCTATTTTGATTCCCACCACTACTCCGACTCGTCGGCCTAGAAAAAGCAAAAGGAAAAAATGCTGAATGACGCTTCTTTTTAGCTTTTATTTCTACACACTAAATTTTACAGGTCTAGTGGTTGACTTGTTTCATTTAAACTTTACTTTTTATATGTAACGTAAGAATTTATTATGACGAGAAAAATGTTTACTCGACAAAATGTATGCATGCGAGGTGAAAAAAGGACAAAATAAATAAGAAATTATATAATGCACTGATGATTTACGCTACATATATAAGAGTGATTGTTTTGTGCAGAACTTATAAAACGTATTATAACGTATTATATCAATCAAACGTATTATATCATATCATATTTCTACTTCCTTAATTCAGACTTATTGCTGAATATTTGCATAAACTGTGAAAGATATTTTGTGAACATTATTTAGGTAGCCTTTAGTCAATCATATGTATAAAACAAAGATATTAAGGTGTGAAAATGTATGTTACATTAGTTAGAACATAGTTAGAATATAGTATATAATTCAGCACGGAGTATTCAATACAATTTAACCACCCTTTTCAAAAAGTGATTTTTATTCAAATAATTTGTTATTTAATAAATTAACGCTGCATAATTAATAAACCATTTAGATTTTAAATCAATGTATCTAAAGTAACATCATTATAGATTTTTTAACTAATAAAATTTTATACCTAATCGGTGCATGGTGTATTCTGAAAAATATGGTGACTCTCGTAAAAAGAACTTAAAAAGAGTAAAATGTGGGCATTTTAAGAATATCTGCGATAGCATAGACTAGAACATGCTTCAATCCACTAATATAAAATGCCGTGCTTATTTTAGGTGCAAAATAAACATAAGCTTATTAGGTAAAGATAGATTTAAAAATTATTGTTGAAATTATCTAATAATACGTGAAGCAAGCATCTCTACTGTCTACATTATATAATAATAAACAAAATTTTTACATTTTCATTGCAGTAAACCAATATTTTTAATCTACAGATAATATAAAATATCTAGCTGATATATTGTTTAATGGAATTACATTAGCTTTTTCACTTCGTAGGCAAGATGATAGGCCTGGTAATTCGTATCTTGATCTGGCGGATTCCTGGAACACAGGGTGAAAGAATCGACTCTATTGCTTTCAAGGATTTGCAGGCTGTGATAGATCATACAATTAACGCTAAAAATTACACAGATAAATAAACTGATTTTTATTTTAGTGCCGTGCACACTGTGCTTGAAAAAAACAACTTTGTTACAGCAAAAGATTGAAGGACAGTATAAAGCAGCGATAGATAAATTATAATCAGAGAAATAATGTGATATAACTTGTGTATCGTAAATAATTATCTGTACTTGATACATCTGTATTTGATTCAATAAAAATATATATATTTCTTTTATTTAAATATTATTAAAGATTTAGCAATATTATTTACATATATATATATTTATTAAAATTATAATATTTATTTACGTATGCAATGCAGTTATAAAATAAATGCTTGAAATAAGAGATTTAATTGTTTAAACAGTGCAGTACCTATCCATATATAACTCATAGTTAATATAAACAATGTTTTTTGAATTATTGTACAGAACCATATCTTACCGGATAACTAGTTAACATTGATTATTTTTAATAATTTATGAAAAAATAATTCCAATATTACTATACAAACTTTGAGAGCCAAAGTTACACCTTGATCAATACAAAATTATATAATGTTGTACATTATATTTAATGAAATTTTATTATATTATTTTTTTAAAAATTTCAGAGGTGGATCTAGAGAAACGTTTTACGTCTATGTTACGATTTTTCTTAACTTAACGTTTACCGTTTACGGTTTTCGGCGCGAAATTTCATATTTTTAAAATAAATTAAGTTGAAGTATATTCCTATTTTGATAAGCTAGTTTGTCTACAATGTAAAGTGTCAATTATTCTCCTTTCTCAGCTTTTTTAATTTTCGTGATTCCAGATCCTTGTCTGAAAACAGTCCTACGTTAATGAGGGCCAATAATCTTACGCTCACCAGATGTCGCTAGTTGGGACTGAGGTGAACTCATTTGTCACGCAGATGGCTACACAGTGTCGTCATCATTGAAAAGCTTACACAAACAAAACAATTCCTTAGTGGTGTGTTCTTTAATTTTTTATACATTTTTAACTTTTTAATTCTTCTTCTCAAAAGATTATCCGTTGTTTGGTTTAGTCATTTGTAATATGAATACAAAATACAAGTGATATCTCAGAAATCATTTTTACACTTTTCTAACAATTGTGATTTACCCGCTATGAGATCTGTCAAACATTTCACCTCATTCCAAAGTGGCGCCGCTCTGGTGGCAGAAAAAGTCGTGGATGCCCTCATCCAAAATGTTGTAACTTTAATACGTTATTTATCTCATTATTATTGACTACCATTACACTTACGTGTCTGGGGGAGCTCTATTGACGTTCGGTTTGACCTTGTTGACCTGTCGTGTAGTGGTTGTGTTCACCAACTGGTTGGCCATCGGTGACAGCAGAGTGTTCGTCGCCGCGCTTCGATGGTTCCGGTTTATTACTGTTTACCGTAATTAAATTATTTGGATTATAATTCTACGCTAGATTACATTGCATACCAGAATAGTGTATTGTTTTTAGAGTGGCAAGACTTTTTTCAGTTCCTACAACATCTTTATCATTATGATCATTTTTGTCTTTTGTTGAACATAGGCTTTCTGAATAGAATCAAATAGATGCTAAACGGGCCTTGGACTATATTGAAATATCAATAAAAAGAGTGTGAAGTGCAAAAGAAGTCAGTACCTGCATGTAATGGTATAACTTAAGTTATTAATAATTATATTCACGACATTATTCTCTCTTAGAAAGGTTTAAAAATAAGAGCAAATTTGCATGATGATAATAAGACAATAAGATAATAAGAAGATGATTTTTGACGTGGTAGAGCCACACTGCAGCAACATTATGGTTGTAGCAGGATTAGGTCGGCTCGACCGGGGTAACACCACGCTCTCACAGAATACCAGCGTAAAATAGCATCTTAATGCTGCTGTGTTTCGTATGGTGAGTGTAGAGAACCGGAGACCCTTTTAACTGGAAACCAGGCATTGCATCTTAGTCCTCAGGGGTGATAACTGACAACGCATCTGCATTTTGATTCTTAATTGAGGATAAAAGTTGATGTCTACGGGCTACAGCATCCACTTACCATCAGGCGGACTGTGTGTTCGTTTATCACCCTATACTATAAAAAAAATCAAAAACATTACGTAAATAAAAATTTGCGCCAGACGTTAATATTCTAATCAACAAACGGAATTAAACTTGCGAGGTTAGGTTTGTAACACAATTTTGACCACTTTGTTGTTTTATAAAATATAACAGACATGTTAAGCCAATTTAAAAAAAACAGGAAAAGTAAATTGATATACGTTCCACTGCTGAGCACAGGCTTATCCCAATAGATTAGAGGGTTATGGAAGAATTAGATTGCCGTGCTGCACCAGTACGCGTCGGTAATAAACATTGTCGTCTACGCAATAAATCGAGGCTTCTAATGCATTGGGTATTCTGTTAAGCCGGCTATTCATATTGGCCGAGCGAAGGCGAGTACCAACGTATAGACAGCCCATAAGTCAAGCCTCGCCATTGCGCGTCGACACTTGCCTAGCTGCCCGAGTGCAGGCGAGCGCCTACGTGTATACGAGTCGTTTGGCGTGCCTTGCCACCACTCGGGATCGCTCACTGCGACTCATTTCACTTCGGAACAGTGACGGTTTTTCTGCACAAATCAAAGGCTTGGCGTCAGTCCCGGTGAGATGTTACTTTTTAATTAAGTTGCAAATTCAAAATAATTTCGACAATGTCACTGCCTCTTCTTTTTAAAACTTTACTACACAGTACACTGACATAATAATTATATGCACTCATTAAATAAATAGCAGAAGCTGCAATAACTTCTATGTCGTCCGTATCGTTCCGATTCTCAATGAATACTAATTACAGCCAACACGTGGATACCTCCACAAAAACTCGTGAACATTGGCAGTTGGTATAGGTCTCTTTCGAACTTCAGCAACGTGTAGCCTGTAGCACTCGCCTTGTATCAATTTTCCGAGGTTTGACCAACATATATTGCCGCGGTTACAATGTCAGAAAGAGATAAACTGCGAAAAGAGTGGATATAATAAGTATAGCGTAATATATTTTATATTATACTTACAGCTAATATCTTCTCCTCTCTCTCTTGCTACTTCACCTAAAGAACAATATTTAATAGTTTAATAAAAGCTGCGATTGCGTTAACAATAGAATATTTGTATTTTATTTATTTAATGTGTTGAGATTACTTTATAATTCTACAACAAAAGCGCAATAAACAGTGCATTCACGGATAGATACAGCATATCAGAGAAGATGCAATGCTAGGAGAAGTTTCCACAATGCTTAACATAAGAATACCAACCAGAAATGATGAACATGTCCGCATTAGAGTTAACCAAGAAGCTTATTTCGTGAATGTGGTTTTTTTTTTATTGGGAAAAAGGAGTGATAAGTCCGTGATAGTAGTATTATTGCATTGTGAAAAAGGTTCTTGTTGGGTCAATTGTATATATCTATTTTGTTAAGAAATATCAATTTCGCTTGCTAAGCGACAGTATGAAAGTACTTAGGCTACGTGTTTAGCTGGGAACATGCTTGATGAAAGCGAAATTTTGGATTGATAGGCACAGTCGCCAATTTTATAGTGCTCGGTGTGAAAAGGCGTGCCAAAGCATCTAAGTGCAACTCTTCGGTAAATCATAGGTAAAGCACAATGCTGGCTGTATCATGTGAGGGCCGATGACAAAAAAATTAAAAACAAAATAAAAAAACACTCAGTCCTTGAGCCTGAGATGTACCTCGAACATGGACCTTCTTGGGCAACTCTGGCGGCGTGAAGGTGGGGGGAGGATGGTGGTCATCTGCAAAACATCAGCACAATTTCGCATTCCGATACACCATTCGATTGATAATACCTATACAATACACACAAATCGCAAATATACAGCGCGTGACCAATCAGTAACAGGTCTTACGTCATATATCGCTTGATGTAGAAATATTATTGCGGTTTCACTCATGAGTTATAGTTTGATTTAGAAAAATTCACAAGCTTACTAAAAGCAGGCAGTGCGAGTGTATAACTCTGGTGTCGTAGCCGGTGGGAATCATTATGTAACTGTGTTATGATTTTTCATTATGATAACAAATTAAGACATTTCTATACGAGTACACAATAAAAATACAACGAAAACAAGTCAAACATTAAGACGATGCCAATGAAAATGGCTATCAGAGTTACACAATCGCATTGTTTCGTGAAACTATAATTAAAATTAAAAAAAAAACAACAAGAATTTGTTGTTTAAGTATATTTTTTGGTTTGACTTTATAGTGCTAAAAAATTTAGTTTGTTCAAAAATTCCTTCAAAAATTCTAATCAACAACAAAGCAACTTGAAATTTAAAAACACAGTGGAACCGTAATAATTTATTGCAAACATTAACCAAAAATAACAAATAAGTTAGATCATGTTTTAAAAATATAGGAATATAGTTAATACAACACATTACATCCACATGCAACATTCACTAAAACGTACAAAACATCCATTTAAAATCTAATTGTCAGGCAGTGAATTAAAACATCTATAAATTACGTTTTTATTAACAAGGTGACAAAAATATGAACTATTCATTATTTAATTATGATTTAAGGCTAATGTAGGTAACTGGTGAAGACTAAAATATAAAAAGTGATTTAGATGGCTTCAAGCTAGCTAGTGTCTAAATGACCTGGACTAAATGAATATGATTTCTTGAAATTGTTCAAACAGACCATGTCAGTATCCCATGATTACCAACGTGAACGGACGCAGTGAATGGCACTGCAAATACCTTACGTTACTAACGATTGCGGGCCATCTAGTTTAATAAAACGCTCCCTAAATAGGGCGTAAAAATTAGAATAATGTTATTTTAAAGCATATTTCACAACATCAATATCAGAAGTTCTATCGATGCAGTATAGGACTCAAATAGATAAAAATACACCTATAGTGACATAATCGATCAAAATACTATGACAACACCAAAATAATATAACATCACAATTTGTCTCCCGTGTTTACAATTACTATAGAGACATCTAACTGTTTTATAAATGCACATAGAATAACTTAGACAAGACACGATTCTGCTATAAATTCATCGGTGGGCGTGGTGACCACTTGCACCGTTTGCTTATAAACAACACAATAACATTTACACTGAACGTAATTCAAAGTTATTACGTACTTGCCCTCCCAACCATCTGGACGGCTCGTACGCCTTTCCTGAATGTAGCCACTGAATCGAGAAACAATCGATTTTAAAGATTATGAATTAAAATTTTAATTAAAATGCATATTAATTAACGACGTTAGTGGTTGTGGACCCGACACTTAACGCAAATCACAGACGTTTATACAGACAGCGATGCAAAGCTGAGAAATATCTGTTGTGTAGGAAATACGAAATGGCCATAGGTCTACATAATGCGACTTTTGATTACCAAAGCTCACATTCACTTAATAGGCGTTCATAGACTCTTATTTTATTTTCATAAGTAATAAAAAAAGCAATTTAAAGCTTATAAGCATTTCAGTAATCAAAGTCAATCTCGTCAAACATCCTTGTGTAATATATATAAATTCAGCATTCGATTTTGTCCTGTAATTATGAAGTAAGCGATATCAAAGTTAATACGGATGTGAGGTTTTAGCGCTGCCAGAACATTCAAGTCACGTGAACCGATTATTGTGAATTAGCGTATACTGTAACCCAATTGTTTAATCATGAGCTAGGGTTAGGTTAGCAAACAAGACGTGTCATGAGGTACAGTATAAAGATAGCACGCGTTCCGTTCGTACCATCGGTGCAATCTCGATATGTATTAAGGTTTTGTTTCACCATTCCGGACTGCATCATCATCATTCCGACATCTGTAAAAATCCAAAAACTGACACACACGAATGGGTGATCCTGTCTGATTGGCGAGGTCGGAAGATTTAGCTCGATTTGAATGAAACAGGATCAAGTAAAATATTTGTAAAGATTTTCAATATCATTTTATTTGATCCTTCGATGATTCAATGTGAAGCGACGGATTCTTGATTGTTCACGAGTTAGTCACTCTCATTAGCACAGACAAGCTGGAACTGTTCTAATAAGCAACTGCTTCTTAAAGCTCACTCTTCATTGGGCAACTGTAGCAATTGCGTTTGTTCATTCGGACTTTTCTGAGACATGCTTTCGTGGATTGAGGGTAACGGAAAACGTTCGACAATCTAAGTGTTCTTGGGATGATGAAGGTGCAATATTGCAATTTGCGATTCTACTTATTCAAGTTACATGCATATGCTGCCTGTGCTGGGCTTTGAAGTGCACCATAGCAATTTATATCTATGATTTAGTGATCCAAAATAGATTCTACATTTTTATTGTGATCGAATTTGAGAGTAAGTTTTATTCCTAATTTTGTCGTGTTATATAAGATTGTATGATGCACTAAACGCTTTCGATACTGAACAAAACAGAGCTGGAGAATTCTCAAAAGCCATAGGGAATGGTGAAGTGTCAGAGTGCTTTATTGTGTCGTGACAGTATCCATTCACGAGCGGACATACACAATGATCGCTAAATATTGGGTGTGAACGAGCACGCCTTGCAACCGATACAGTCTGTGTGGTACGGACGCAACACCACTAAAGCAACTCAAAAATTATATAGACAGGAAAAAAAATATTGGAAAACGTCAATCTGTAGGGTTAGGTGTGGTGCAAGTTACCTATGTCGGCTCCAACCTTCCGCTGGTGTGCGGTCACTAAAATTTTAGCCGAATATTCCGTTAATGATTCGTTGATAAAATACAGTGTGGGTTATTTTATTGTTGACTGTGACAAAAACCTACAGTGTAAGTGATAAATTGAAATAATTACAATTATTTAGACAAAAATGTGTAACACTTTGTGACAGTTTTAAGATACAATTTGCGACTTCAAAAGGATTTTCTCCAGAAAGGATGTCACAGAATTATTAATTAACTAAATATGAGAATAATTTTACCCTTTAGATTTAAGTAATCGCTTAGAATATTATAAATTTACTGCAAATTTAATAATGTATTATTTATTAAACAATTTATTATATTATATACTAGTTATAATATAAATGATCTTACAGTTTTTGCATTTGCACTTCTTGATGAGTGTTTCATCTTTAATATCTTCGTGGCATGCCTTGCAATAATACCACGCTCTGAAAAAAAAAACAACAACATCAAATTATTACAATCATCGTCATCTTCATCACCACAGCCTATTACCGCTATACATAGGCCCTCTCTTTTTCTTATAGAGAAGATTCTATCATATCAAGCGTTTGACATGCGAATTAGCTACCGCAGTTTTTTTTAAATTATTTCAGTTGTTATCTTGAAGATATTGTTGCCTATCTTCTATTTTAATTTTCCTCTATCGCCTCTGACACCCACCAGATGATACGGGTTAGTGGATATTTTTACGCCGCAACTACACGACACAACAGATTATAACAAAATATAACATTGAATAATTAATAAATACAATAATGCTGCGTAAATACATAGATGAAGAAACAATTAATTTTCAATCTGTGTTCCTACTTCGATTTTACAGTGGAGGCCGCGTATTGATGGCGTAAGTAAAGGCCAATCACCGTATTTCACCCCATAAGTATTGTGAAAGGCAACTATGAGCAACTTTGAAAAGATTTTTTGGATTCTGATAAATTATAGCGACCAACTCGTTATTCATACCAGATATAAAATAATGTCCACCAGACCGTATTTCGGTTACGTCGGCCAGTCTCAAGGTAAACTAGACATGACATGGCACCTGCACAGTACAGTATGATAGTGCCCTAATAGTGTATGTGCAAGCACCGGTGCACTCTTTATTCCCTCACTCCCACAGTTCTATGGTACGGTAATCCGAGACGACCGGAGCGACATCAGGCGCAGGAACGACGGCTTTACGTGCTTTCCGAAGCACTGTGGCTGAATTACTGCCAATTTTCTGACATCTGCTGTTACTGAAAATTTCTAGACGGAGAAACCCAATAACTGGTTATTTGCCCGACTTGGGATTGGAAACCAGGAAATATTATAAATATATTTTCCTTTACATCCGCCTGTATTTCAATATCTGACATGGGCAGAAGAACAATAGAGAGAATTTGAGGTAGTTACTCTTCCCGCGCTTACTAGATAAATTAGGTAGTGCAGTAACAGACATCGCGGACTCTGATGCTGCTTCCAATTTACGCCATCCGGTAAATATTAGATGAATTGCCGTCGAAGTGGTAACACCAACGTGTACAACGTAGTAGAGAAACGCTTCGACTATATTATGCAGTACGAAGGACGAAGGAGCACTTTCTCACAGAATGCAAGCCTAAAATAACCTCATAATGCTGCTGTGTTTCATATGGCGAGTGTAAAGAACCGAAGACCCTTTTTAACTAGTAATGAGACATTCTATATAGTCCTCAGAGGTTACAGTACAACTACATTTTGATTCATAATCATGTATCATAATCATGTAATCAATAAATGTACATGGACCATAGTATCCACATATCATCAGGTGGACTCACTGTTCGCTTATCACCCTTTTTCTATATTAAATCCACCATCTATCAGAGTCCATGAGATCTTTCTGGCTTCTTCTATAATAATTTCTTACCAGGTCCACAATACTGAATAAGTTGACGGATTATTAATTACGCAGTTCACCACAAGGCGAACAACAACGTACTGAAGTTGAGGAACGAAGACGACGTACGAAGTTGAAGAAGAAGAGAGATAGAATTGTTACCTTTTAACTTCATCAGCAGATTGCGCAATGAAAAACCCTTGCGTGTTGGCGTGGATCTTGGCGTTGCGTGGATTGATTGAAATCTTGCTGTCTGCACCCTCTTCCCCTTTAATCTCGATTGCCAAGAGGAGAAGTTTCAATTTCGTGAAACATAACCTGGCGGGAAACGGGAACTCTGTTTACTATCATTTGTGATTTATTAAGTGCAAAGTAATTTACTGTACTAAATATGATGTCATCTTAGTTTTAGTAATTATTATTCAGGAATTTTGAGATAAAGTCAAATAGGTTATAATATTAGTGATGTTATTCCGTGTTTAATAATATCAAAACAATTCACAAGCACATGAATTTTTCAAGAAATATTTGTAGCACAGAGTAATTATCCGATTATATAAAATAATTATTCCTGTTTATTTTACAGATCGTTTTAACTTTATAAGCACGCAATCACTACTGTATTTTATTTAAACAAGCTCAGTTTTATTCACACTAAATGTATTTATAAGGATTACAATAATTTAGTCAAGCAGTATGTTATGTGTAACGGCTAAAGTTAAAAGCGGAGGTGCGGATACACCTTGGTTTAACCCGTTACAACGAGGTACAGTTAGAGCTTCCAACATTACTGATATTGTAATTACGTAATTTCGGTAAGATAATAGTTTTAAAATACGTCTGTAGTTAAATAAATTGCATTATTACGTTATTACGTATATGGATTTATTATTACGTATATTACGTATATTTTTTACGTGGTAGAGCCATGCTGCAGCTATATTAGAAGTATAGTTGTAGTACGAATGGGTCGGCTCGCCCGGGGAAGGACCACGCTCTCACAGAAAACCAGCGTAAAATAGCAGCTTAACGCTGCTGTGTTTCGTATGGTAAGTGTAGAGAACCGGAGACCCATTTTACTGGCAAAGAGGCATTCCATCTTACTCCTCACGGGTGACAACGCATCTGCATCTTGAGTCTTTATTGAGGATAGATGTAGATGTCTATGGGCTACAGCAACCACTTACCATCAGGTGGACTGTATGCTCGTTTGTCACCCTATACTATAAAAAAAAAATGGAAACCCTATTTAGCCGATTGCGGTGGGTTAATCTTGGGAGTATCCTGTATAATTTATAAATCAAATAAAAGTCCGCGACCATTGGGCCTCATCAACCGCACCTTAATCTACAATCGCTGATATTACTTCATACGTGCTTTCGTATTTTTAACAAATTTAACAACACACCTATATTTAACCAACCAAAAATTGCAGCACCTATAGTTGCAGCCGTCTAAGCCTTACTTCGGTTACACAACCGCACTTCGGCTTTTAACCGTGACATATAGGTATAAGAGTGCGTACAGATCAAGAAACATGTTGTATAACTTTTGCTTTATAACACACATAATGTTACATTGTTTTTTAACATTGCAACATATAACAATATTGTACACATTAGAATAACAATGCAATATAACAATTATATAAAACATTGTCCTATGACATTGTCGTTTGTCGTTCTGCTGTCCGAGTTATATGACATTTGTGTCACGTTATATAACACGTTTTACAACATTCAGTCTCCACATTACTGAAATATGTTACATAACAACGTTTTATAACATGTTATGTTATATAATGTGTACGCACCGTTATATCATTGCATGCAGTCATAAAATCCATACTAATAATGTTATATTATCTAAAAGTTTCAGAAGAAAAACAGCTTAATGGATTTAGATAAAATTTGTGACATGGGATGAATCATTACGTTAGATGTTTCAGTTTCCACGCGGGCGAAGCCGCGAGCAGCAGGTAATATGTCATAGTATATTTAACTAACAACTGTGTAGTGGTGGTGTAAGAATACCCACTACCCCATATTGTTCCGTCGGTGTCGTAAGAGGCGACAGATGGAAATTTAAACAGGAGATGGGCAGCAGCATCTTACTGATAAAAACTCAAAATTAAAAAAAAAACTGTGATTGCCAACCGCAAAACCAAAAAAGTTAGACAATCTTTGGGGAAGGCCTATGTTCAGCAGTAAATTTTTATAGGCTGTTAATGGATGGAATGGATGTTTAAACTTATTTTTCTATAATTAAATAATTATATTTTTATAACAGAATAAAATACAAAAACTACATATTTGCAATGCAAATGATGCAAACAACGACTACAATAAACATAATATAATCAATACAATCTATACAATATCTTTTTTCTAACACGATAAAGCCACGCTAAAATTCTACATGATAAAGCTACACTAAATCCATGGCTTGCTACACAAGAATGGGTCAAAGAAAAGAAAGGACCATGTTCTCGAGGAATAAAGCAATTAAAAGCTGTGTTTCTTTAGTAAGTGACGAGAACAGAAACCCCTTTTTACTGGTATACTATCCATCATATACTAGTCTTCAGGGATATAAACGTGAGTATCTTTGAGTAACAACATCCTCATATCATCACGTGGACAGTTACTTGTATTAAAATATTGTAACTGCTAACGCTATTGTTATTAGCTTCGCGATGTTAGCAGCTCATGAGCGGAATTTCGATTTACCAATTATACTATCTGAAAGGTCAGAAATTGGTCATAAAAGGTCAGTTGATGATGTCAGTTGATGAACTCTAACTTTATATTAATACTCTAATATATATTAGTACATGGCTGCTTAAAACACCGAAAATTTCTCCATTACTTAGTCGAAAAAAATTAATTATAACTAATCAAAACAAAATTTAACTGCCATTTACATTCCATGACTTCCCACATGATAGATTGAGTTGAACAATTGATTATTTCAAAAGTTATCGTGTTTACGACAGCATGTGGACTTGATAAACCCACACCACCAAAGAGCTGTGCGTAAGTGCTCATTGCCCTGATACAATTAACCGTCCCAAAGCATGCGCGTTACGACAATAACAACTTATTTTTTTTTATATGAAATTAAACTGACCAAATATTTATATAAGCTGACCAATTATCAGCGAATGCTTCTTGATCGCGCATAGGTGGAATTTTTTTATTTTTTTTGCGAATGAGGTGCTAAAATTTCTCAATGACCTTGAAAAACTTTAACCCTTAATAAAAATGTTTCTAACGCTGACCAATTAATAAGATCAACTGACCTTTTATGACCAATTTCTGACCTTTCAGATGGTATAATTGGTAAATCGAAATTCCGCACATGAGGTGCTAACATCGCGGAGCTAATGTTATTGTAATTTTGTGTGATAATTGCAAAAATGTCTATATAAAGACATAATAATGCAATTGCTGCTTTGTAACTCATAATTCATAATTTAATTTTAACGTAAACGCTACCTACTTATAAAGTATTATAAGTAATAAACACTACTTATTTCTTTCATTTGATAGATATATTTTTATACTATAGATATGTATGTATTAACATTTAAAAATACTGTATTCAAAACTGATATTTTTACGATATCAACATGCAAATGTTAGTTAATTGTGTGAATAAAAAGAAAATTGAAATTAGACAAGGAGAGGCTTATAAAGCTACAAACACAAGCGAGAGAAGAAAGGTTTAATCTAAGGTAAAGCTTAAATAACGGTCATAACATGACATTTGAAACGGTGAAAATTTAAATGAAGTAACAGTGATGTAATAAAACTCAATGTCCTTTTAGTTGCACTGAAATTTTTAGGAAGCTATTACGAACATTTTATAAAAATATCATAGAGTATAAACTCGACCGAAATAAAATATGTGCATCTAAGTAATGTTCTCAATCATGTCACTAAACAACTCTAGCATTCTTAACTGTTAACATGCAGGTTATCAATAATTTGCTTATGTTTGTCAATGTCTAAAGTAGTTGAGGTTAATGCACATTCATCGGCAGGGGTTAACAAAATGGCACATATAGACTACGGTGTGGGATGGGTGTGCAGCCCAGGGGTCTAGGCAGTCTTACTCGCTCGCTTGCGGGAAGCTCATCCCTGTGAAGGAGGTCGACAGTGTCTCTGTGTACATCTCACAGCCCGTGCCCTGCAGGTAATCGTTCTGCCAAGCTTGTGTGTCGGGGGACTGCAATCAACCAATAGGAGACGCTAAAGCTCGTGCCGTGTTAGTCCCAGCCACTGAAAACTCATCAGGACCACCCCTAAATGCGTTTGCGAAATGCTCAATCTCATTTCGGACTCATAGTTAGATTTCTAAGGATTAGTTTTCTATATAAAGCTCTGTATGATTCTATTTTTATATGGCGTCTGTAACATTATTCAGTGCAGTACACCCACAGAGAAGGAAAATTCACAGATTTAAGCTGGCAAATCAAAAGAGAAACAGAATGTAATGAAAAAAGGAAAGAAGCTTTGCAATCGTTATTAGTGATGTCGTTTGTCCTTCGACCAGCGTAATGGGATGTGGAGCTGAACACTTGAGTGAGTGACGTCGTCTTAAGTCACCGCTTGAAAGCATCTGTTCTGCCCACTTACTCAGCCGCCTGTTTGAAGGGCATCCCGATAAACGTACTGCTCACTGTCTCCGTGTACATCTCCATCCCCGTACCTCGCATGTATTCATTAGTCCATATAGCCATGTCTTGGGACTGGAAACGCCGCATAAAATAATTTTAATTCAATATATTCGAAGAGACCGGACGCGTTCATATATAGTCACAGCTGGAACTATCTATGGCGTCCTACCAGATATCTTACGAACGTGTTCCGGTGCTTAACTGATACAAAAATAAAACTATTATCTTGCTATGATAATATGAATACTAAACAAAGTCTCTTCGAATATATTTTTATATAATGTCTAGATGATTAAGTGCGAAAAACATAGATAACTGCAAAATCTGACCGTTTTAAAACTCCTCATAGCGAATAGATTGGCCATCATTGTAGAGAAACCAGGTGCGAGACAACTCTGTGCGATGAATCCTAGTTTTAATTCCGCTAAACAAATGACATCGTCGCCTTGTTTCCAGTCCCATGAAGGAATGTTCAAAAGGTAGGCCTGAAAGCGATATCAAAAGATAAAGTAAATTCCACTTTCTTTAATATTGAAAGCGACAGTAAGCTCTTGGATAAGAGTACAGATTACTACCATTCGACTACTGTCGTAAACTACTCTTAAAAATCATTTTAACCTCACTTGGAGTAACTAATTAAATTCAAGATTAAAAATTAGTAATGTTAACAGTGTTACTAGTATTATTTTAATATAAAGTAAGGATCATATGAAAAAAGAAATTAAATTCATTGCCGAAATAAGCGTTTACAAAACGCGCCAACAGGTATGACAAGAACTTTATTTTTTTTTATTTTAAAAAGTTACCCCCACACTAGGATTTTCTCCTTTATCGTGGAGGCAATTTACAAACATAAATTGCACAAGGACAAACATACAGACCCGGAACAATTATTTGTAGGCCATACAAATACTTGTTCCGTGCGGGATTCGAACCCGCGGCCCCCAGCGCAGCAACTCATTGCTAAGCCACTTCGTCACGGAGCCGTCTTTCTTATTTAATTTTTTTTTCTTGGCAATTAAAAGTCAGCTCAACAGTGGGCATTGGCAAACCCCATAGATTGCCTCATAGGGGGTACTTTGGTCATAGTGGTCACGCTTGGCAGGAGGATTGGCAACTGCAGGAGTTTATTATTTTGAGTTTTTATTAGTGAGATACTACTGTCCATCCCCTGTTTCATTTCCCTGTGTCGACTCTTACAACTTACGGTACCTTATAGGGACTACCTTACGCCTTCACTACATGACAAGGAAAATTGGCCATTTTCACTACGCTTTGCAAACGAGTTGGCAAGTCCTGAGTTGATCTACGAACGATTTTTATATATATATATATCTTTATATATAAAAATTACGTGTCACGTTGTTTGTCCGCGATGAACTCCTAAACTACTGAACTGATTTCAATGAAATTTTTCACACTGTGTGCAGTTTGTTCCAACTTGAGAGATAGGATAGTTTTTATCCCGATAACTGACCCTCAATTTTTTATTGCTAATCTCAGGACTGAAGTGCTCCTTTCCGTCTAAAAGTTCGTAAGGGTTGGTATCAGCCTTGTACCGTGCCTTCACAGCTATGTGGGCTGTGAAGGGTGAACAAAATTGAAGGCTATGTGGCGTTTATCTTAGTTTTGGGGGATGATAAGGACCCCGTTGCCTTGTTGCTTGAAGTCTTGCATGAACTAGGTGGCAGGAGTCCATTTCTGCGTAGGAGCTCATCTGGTTGGACACCAGCTTCTAACGTATTTCTGACGCTAAACAGCAGTGCTTATGATGTGTATAGAACACTATTGTACTTCCAGGCTGTGTGGCATTCCATCTTAACCTTCAGAGGTAACAACGTATTTAGTGGTCTTCTATCTTTGAAGTTGGTTGCAGGTATCCATGGACTTCTGTAACTTACTATTATGTCAGCTCGTTGTTTACTGTAATATTAAAAAAATGCTAATGAAGTTATTAACTTTTGTAAATGGTACAGTCATTCTGTAGCATGAATGGATCGGCGCGGCGAGAAAGGATCACCTTTGAACAAAGTACTAGCGTGAAATACCAGCCTAATGCTGCTATATTTCGTATGGTGGGTGACGATAACCGGAGACCCTCTTTATTGGTAATAAGGCATTTCCATCTCATAGTAGTCTCATGGTTGCAATGTCTGTGGACAGTGTACTGTATACTGCACCTATCAAGTCAACTTCTATAAAAAAGTCGGTGTCAGTCGTGAGTGAGCTTTTACCTTGTTGTGATACTGCATAAGTTGAATAATTACTCTGATGTCGTCTGAATAATTTTTGATCGAAATGACTCTCATTATATTGGCGGCGTCCTCCGCATCCGGATCCTGGCAGTATTTGTTTGCTAGAACTAAGCACGCATCCGCTTCATGCACCTATACACATAAGTGCATATTAGTAAATTACACAGTTGTATATTCGTCATTAAACGTCAATTTATATATTAAATAATGATCAATTTATATTTAAAATTGAAAAGACTGGTGAGACTGTTAAAAAATCATTGAGGATAGTTATTGAATGGTTGTATACTTACCGTTAAACCAATTAAAAATCCTCGAGAACTTGAACCTTAGAAATGGTACAGTAAAAGTTCTGGTTAAAGTATCCCAAGGTTTACAAAAAAAGTTTACTAAACTACTAAACAAAAAGCGTGAAGAGACATGCGATACAAAACACCCAATAAACAATTAAAATGACCACTACATCAATAATGGGTTACATTTAGTTAGGTATATTAGTTGTGTTTGTGTAGTGTTCATTTCTAGATAAAGATAATTATTCAAATAGCATGCAAACGGTTATTGACAAAACAAGAAACTCACAAGCCGTGCATTACACCGATAATAACTCACCATAAACACTCGACAATATCGACTATCGACAAATTCGAACTACTAGTAAAAGCAAATTTTGTAATGGAAACCCTTTCGTCGGCAGCCATTAATGCCAATGTGCAAGTTGATTCGAATTTCGTTAAGTCAATATCGATTGTTTAAAGTATGAACACGTGGTCAGCATCGCATACAACACCCAGGTAGGTACAGACAGATAGTGGCGTGGGCGCGGCCTGGGCCGGTCAGGTCCGGCACGTAACCAGCGATGCCGTGCCGGGGCACACAGTAACAGACACAGTAGCGATAGATACGTACAAACAGCCTCCAAGTCATGGCGTTAGAAGGGAACTGTACACCACGCCAAAAGAATACCACCTCGGAAACGTTAATTAATGAACGAGCATCGCTCTACGTCTATAGGAAAGATAGTCTGCACAGCTTCAAACCGACACCACGCCCAAAGATCAATCACATATCCACTTGTGTGCGGTGCTACTTACTTTTACCCTCTGTAGGTCGATTGGATTCATAATGGTGCCTTGAAAGAATTCCACAGTGGTAAAGTGTCTCTTGAACAGGCCTTCGAGCTCCAGATCGGGCGGTTTCCTGCCATCAACTGTCAGTTAACACTACGGGTCTTACTGGTCAGTCCGCCGCCTGTCGCGGGCCGACATTACCATGCACGCTAGATTGTACCAAAGTACGCAATAGTGTAGCAGGACGGAGGCGCCTGGTCGAAGCCCAAGCACCACCGACCCGCCGTGAAAGCAATGATTGCAAAGAACCAAGATAAAGTTACATAAGTGATAAATTCCTACGGTGACTATGAAACGGCATCTTTACAGGAGAAAAAGATCTGTTTAATGCATATAAATAAAAGGTACTGGTTCACGTAGACGCTTATCAATGATAAAGAGGGCCGTGCGATTAACTAATGCCAGCGCTATTCGGTCTCACTCTAACCTTGACTCGTTCAAGGTCCACGGCATTCATCATTGTACCCTGAAAAAACTCGACGGTGGTGTAGTGACGCTTCAGGAGACCTTCCAGCTCAAGGTCGGGCTCTTTTCTGAAAGCGTCGTTGCATCACAGATAACACACCGTCACCCCGAAATTTTGAAATTGCGTTTTTATTAGTTTATTTTACTATACGTTGTTGATAATGGTTAGGAATAATGTAATTAGCTCAAATTTGCGATTGTATTTAATGTACCGACGATCGTAACCTAGTAGTAAGGTTACTACGTCCCGGATTCGTATCCCATACGCAAACATTTATTTAAAGTTTTGGTTGCGTTGTTATTGTCGCCGTGTTTTCGACACTGCATCGTTATCATATTTTAACTACATAAGCTTTGAATCGGGCAAAAGCAGACTATGACAAGAATACTTTTTCTTCTTCATCACCAGCTCGTAATATTCAATTGCTGGACACGGACTCTCCCGTGGTTGTGGGAATTGGCCTTAATCGTCACTAGGTATTCGAATTGATGACCACATTAACAATTTCGCTCTGAGTATTTTATGTCTGGTGTAAGTATAGTTATATCACCATGTGTCGGACGCCATAATGTTTTTCTGGAATTTCACACAGTCGCCTCTTACGTCACTTTTCGCCACCACACAGTACTTTGTATTCTTCGAGCACTATAATGCCTCCAGCTTTACACAGTATACGGAAGTTGTTTGATTCGGCATCAGCCAGTAATATATTATCAAAATCATGATACATAGAGTAGACATTAATTTTTAACATAAAACAACTCACCTATGTAAAAAAACAACCTCAACATCCACATCCTCTCTGTCTTCATGTAGGAAGTCTTTTAAAAAATGGCTTACTGATTCGTATGTTATGTGTCCACATACAACTATATGCCTGAAAATTTTAAATTATATTATAACTTTTGCATCAAAGTATCATGTCATTTAATTCTGCTAAAATGAAATTTGCTCAAAAAGTTTAAAAAGCGGTGTAAGCAAATTTATAAAATATCGCAATAATCTTTTGCAATTATTAAGGCACAGAAAGTTCAGTTTTCTTTCATAGTAGACTTACAAGTAAGCTGTTTAGAGTATTTTTGAGCTTATAAAGTAATCAACAAGCAATACATATTGAGAAGCGTCACAAATCAAACAGAGAGAGAATAGATAGAAGGAAGTACAGCAATTTGAAGTTTTATTTAACTCCTGGGACCACGGTGTAAAAATTTTGGTAGATTTTAAAAACAAAAGTAAGGTCGCAACAGGGTTAAACAAAACAATACGTGAAGAAAGCATGAAGTAGCCAACATTGTTAACAAAGTCTATTAACTCCAGCTAATATTATTAGGAAATTACAAAATGTAAATAACAATCAATTGTTAAAAGAACAACAATAGACTTTGACAATGTTAACTTCAATAAACACAATTACAACTTTGTTCATTAGTTTTTAATTTAACTGCATTGAAACAATTTACGAAAGTTGTTGTTTAAAACATAAAATATCGCGATTTGAATAATTTATACAATTACCAATAAAAACGAATGAACAATCTCAGTAGCGTTCAGGTTTTGTGTAACTATCTACCACACTAACAATAAAAGACATTAAAATATAACACCAACAGAAAGATTATCGACGCGTGAGATACTTGCAATGAAAATGTAAATAAAACTAGCCACTATCACACTGTTGAAATAAAGATGACTCTAAGAGCGATATCACGAAAATTATTATAATGTAGATGTTTCGACGTGTCTATGAGATATAATTTAAAAAAAAATCTTTTGACATTAAGGAATATTTATGCGTATGTTACAATGCTTAAACACGTTTATTTTATTTTTAACCATGAAAAATGAAAAACCAGTGCTTTTATGGGAGTTCCTTAATGTTTCAAGATTATTTAATTCGATTTCGCTATCTTGAATTTAGAGGATATTAAAAGCTTGCGTCTCAGTACACTTTCCCTAAGATATTTCGTAATATGTTAATGTTTCAGTTTGTGTAATTTCTGAGTTTATATATTTGGGATCGAGCCTCAATTCTTTATAAGTTCATATTAAGAAGGGTTAGGCAGCGCTCAAATGCAATGTGTGATTGCAGACATACATTCGATCGTGTTCGAACATTGATGGAGGTTTGTGTATTAAACAAAGTTATATAGGGATAGACCTTAAATAAAACGAGAATCATCATTGAAAATTAAATTGAGAGCAAGAAAGACTGAATGCAATATGCTGGTAACTACGTACAACATGCAAGCTACAATTCTCTAAGGTGTGGCAAAGGAACTGAATTCATTTTTTTTCAAATAAACAATTCTCTACCTCGTATTAATTAATCGTAAAAACTCACATTTTTTTAACAATTAAATCAAAATGTTATTATGAATGAACAGTGTTAACTCGTCACTAAGATGATATCACAAATGGCATGTCGAAAACTAAATCTATTATTGCGTTAAATGTCCTCAATGCACACAGCCTTGCCACGCTCTATGAATCTTTTACGCATTTACATTACACTAAATTTACCGAGGGGGTCGATTCAAAATTACATTACGAAATTACATACAGTAAATCGGGGCAACATTAAGAGTAAGAGAACAGTACAAGTACATAATTCGTGCAGGCAGGGAAGTAGAAGGGAGGCGAGCGGAGTGGATGGCATCATGGCACTCACTAGTCGGGGCCGCATCGGCAGCGCCACGCGGGCGCATGCCGGACCGGCCGCTGGCTCGGTCCGGACCGGGCCAGTCGGGCCAGACCGGACTGCGCCCGCGCCGGAGCTGTCGACGTGTCGACACATGACAACGTCAACAACAAAACTCTACGGTACCACTCAACATTTAACTTTTCATATCTAAGCGTTTACGTTTAACATTCCTTATTAATACGCAGGTACAGTACAGTACATTAACAGAACATAATCATGATTACCTATATGACGAGCGATAAAACTAGCGACTATCTGCTTGTCTCTATTCAACTGAACTCAAATCAATTCAAAGATAATTTACAATCAATATCGACTCAAAAACAAAGACAACGCGCGAGACTCGCGTCCCGCTAAAGATAAAGTGAGAACACAGAAGCGTGCTAAGAGAGGAAAAGGAAGATATAGAATTCACAACACGGAACACATTCAACGGAACGGACTGAAGACAGCGGCTCACCTGCGTCCCCGCTCATTCTTGAGGGTGCCGCCATACTTGGGTCTAGTGCCGATTAAGTCAATTATCTCTGGGATACAACTGGCAAATATCGCCTAAACGCCGACAGACAAAACATGTGGTTCACATTGAAGTCGAGCAGTGGTCCGTGGCGCGGCGAGGCGGGCCGCCGGCGGGGCGGGCGGCGCGCCTCGCCGCGAGCCGCCGGGCGGCAGGGGGCGGGGGCGCGGGGCGAGGGGGCGCGCGGCACTGGCTGTGTGTGATCTCGGGACTGTGGCGAGGTGCCGGAGCTAGCTCTACAGCGTGGCGACAGGCATCGTGTGCAAGCAAACAAACCAAACACTACTTCATTGACAGCATTACAAAACTTTACATCGGCTCTCTCCAGATCTAGTCTCGTTAGAAGGATTAAAAAGCTCAACGGTATCTCGAGTGAAATTTACGAAAAGGCATGTAGTAGTGCGTCGGTCGACCGCGCGCCTATCTCTCGAGTTCGGGGAGAGGAGCGCGGCCGCCGGGAGCTAACTCTTCGAGCATGCGCCACGGCACCGAGAGACCGATTCTAGTGTAGGATTAATAAATTTAATTAGCAAACTCCGCATTCAATCAACCAAGTCAGATTGAAACCGTGAGAGGTGGGAAGGCAGGAAGCCGTGTGGAGCGGGGGCGTGAGAGCAGGGTACCTGCGGCGGACGTCCTTGTTGTACCGGCCGCCGTATTTGTTCCGCTGCGCCGCCAGTTCCGTGATCTCGGGGATCCAGCTGGCGAACACAGCCTACGATACACAGCAAACACCGTGAGGTGAGCACCGGCCCCCCCGCGCGCCCGCCCCCCCGGCCCGCCGCGAACCCTCGCGCTCGCACAAGGCTGTGTGGCTTGAGTGTCGTCTGTCTGCGTGTGGCTGTGGCGTGGTGTGGACGGGTGCGGGACTTGGGTGCCGTGCCGAGCTACGCTAGCGGGGGCTACGTGACGGCAAGCCGTGACGGGACTCGTGACCGGGTACATGCAAAGCCTGGATTCATACGCTAACTAATCGATGAACAGAACTTAAAAAGAAATCGGTATCACCGGTTCCTAAACTAAGACGATGGGGCATTCGGTATAGACGCTTGGTAGAACACGCACACGAGCCGACCGTCGCGAGGGGCCTCTAGGAGGGCCTTGCCACCGATTTACTGACAATCGGCTCGTAAGCTCGGAGCGACGGTAACGCGGAGGCGAGACACCCTCTACTAGCCGCCCGCGGGGCCGGCGGGTGTGCGCGAGTAGATAACACAATACATCTGACGGCACTGAGCAAGCTTTCGTATAGGTGATGAGTTCTCATCGTCTTCGAGAGATCGAGCGACCCAGACCGAGCACGGCAGCGCGGCCGTAGCTTAAGCGTCGCGCGCGTCGCGGGATGAATCGCTTTCACTCGCGTCTGTCAACTTAACATCAAATTGATACCTTTTTCCATGTTCACGCTTCAGCTCGCCACTGTACTTGGACCTACTTCCTACCAGCTCTATAATTTCAGGAATGCTACTAGCGAACATTGCCTGCAACAGACCATGGTGTCGATCGGATATCGAATATGGGCGCACGCGGACACCATCGCGTGGTGCACGACAATGTCCACCACCTGGAGTCTCGGTATAACTATGGTGACATATAGTAAGTGTAGCCGGTATAGCGGAGCGAAATAAAAATAAAATAAAAAGGAACGAGTGTGTGTCTACCGGTGATGTGAGCAACTGAACACAGCCAGGCACAGGTGCGCATGCAGAGATCGCGAGGTGGGAGGGGTGGGACGCGGCGCGGGAACCGGCGCGCGGCGGGCGCCTCCGCGACAACTACGTGTCTCGTCTCGTACCACTCGTACCACTGTCCCCATTATACATCTCCAACATTTAAGCACGGTAAGAGATCTTACGGCAGCACATTCGTGGTAAGTATCACATAACAAAGCAAAAGAAAAACAAAATACACTCATGCATCGGAATCGCTCCAAGTAACGCTCGTTTCGTGTCTCGAAATGTGCTCCTTCGGTAGCGATCGAGAAGTTAGATTAGAAGACATGGCACACAGAGCTGGCGGCTGCGGCCGGGTACGGTCGGCGCGCAAGGTCCAAGTTACTCGCATGCTGTCTATGTGCACTAGTCAGGCGTACAATCATTCAACGAGCTGTGCTTTCATTTAATATATATCTCTAAGTCCCATTTAGAGGTGTAAAAATATTTCATAAAGAGTCTCCAATAATTTATTTCCTTTTGCTTTGTTATCAATTTTGGTTTGAATGCAAGGAATTGCAAGCGCTGCGTAAACAAACGCAAGGGCTGTAAGCTAATTCTCATGGGAAAATTAAATCACGGCATATAGTTCTATTAAACTTGCCCCTCCTTGCAAATGTATTCAGTAATAGTAGTATATTTCATAATGAAATTTATTAGACTTTGTAAATTATTACTTATATAGAAGGAAAAATAGAAAGTGAAACTTACCAAGCCGACGAGGAGAAAAAAAACCAAAAATGTTCTGCCGAGAACAGTGTGACAGAACACGTCACCGTAACCTACTGTGGACATGGTGACTATGAGAAAGTACACGCAAGTCCAATATGATAGCGACTGCGCATTGTCAAACTCCAGCGGGTCGCCTGAGTTTTCCAGCTGGAACAAATAAGGTTTTCCTTGAAACATGTATTCTATATATGATACAAACACAACAAATCAATCACACTTTGACACTTATGTCTGATTGTTACAAGTATACATGTAATATATATGTTAGGTTAATCTTATCACACACACACACAAACACACACACACACACACACACAAAAGAGGGGGTGCGCGCGTGCGCCCGCACGCACGCATTCTCGCACACTCCCATAGTTTTATGAAAGAGGGATTAATCTAAACTTAAAAATTACACCTATGACATTGTAAACATGGATGTTCTCGTACAAAATATATGTAAGTATATGTAAGCATATGATTTATAACATAAATAATATGTATAATATTATTTATTACACTTCACTTAATTTAAAAAAAATGCACATTATAAAGAATATTGTGCATTTTTTTTTATTATTTACATTTTTTCTAACTTATTAGAACACACCATTTATTTATATTTTTTATTTATTGGCGACGATATTAATTCTTCTTCAAAATGTTAAAATTGCACACAATGGATTTTGGCACTAAGAATGATCTTCTAGTTTGCCGGGACACTGTGTGAAGTATGGTGGATATCTAGAGATGGATGGGTGGGGCGAGGCTCTGGTTTCTATTCAAAAACGCTAAACTACCACGTATACAAATACATTTTAATACATTTTATACGTGGTAGAGCCATGCTGCAGCTATATTAGTAGTATAGTTGTAGCACGAATGGGTCGGCTCGACCGGGGAAGGACCACGCGCTCACAGAATACCAGCGTAAAATAGCAGCCTAACGCTGCTGTGTTTCGTGTGGTGAGTGTAGAGAACCGGAGACCCTTTTTTACTGGAAATGAGGCATTCTATCTTAGTCCTCAAGGGTGACAAGGCATCTGCTTTTAGATACATAATCGAGGATAAATGTAGATGTCTATGGGCCACAGTACCATCAGGTGGACTGTGTGCTCGTTTGTCACCCTATCCTATATAAAAAAAAGAAATTAAAAAAAAATGTGTGCTGACTTATGCGTCTTATTGAGTATAACTAATTTTGAAGACAGTTTCGCATATTGAAAAGGCCAATATCTAGCAGTGGATTTTTTAAATCTGATCAAGTTCATAAAAGTTCGTAAGAATTTACGATCAATTGCAAAAAGTCCAAAAGATATCAATAAAGGCAGCAAACATAATAGTCCTTATTGCAAAAGTAGTTTAGTATTTAGTGTCAGCTTTTATATAACTAAAGTTTGTCTCACGAAAGAAGTCTCGGAGAAATAGGTGCACTAAAATGTAATATATGGAATTTGACAGCAAATGTCAAATTTCACAAAGACAGTGGAGCCGCAGTTAAGGGACTTCTTTAGTTGGAAGGACTATTTTCTGCCGACTTCCAAAAAGGAGACGGTACTCAATTCGACTGTATGTTTTTTTATGTTTGTTACCTCATAACTTTATACTGGGCAAACCGATTTCGATATTTTTTTTTTATAAGAAAGCTGATAGTTCTCGTGTGGTCCCACGTCCCATATGAATTTGATCAAGGTCAGACCAATGGTTATTGAGTTATTCTTAAATAACCTATATTGAAGTCGGCTGTACAAAATTTTTAATTTTTAATTATTAAACCATTGTTTAATACCGAGGCTATCGGCAAATCATATATAGTATAAGATATATTAATTTTCATGTTATGCTATTACATATAAATGACTATGTTCTTTTATTAGTTACTAGCGAACTGCATCTACCGGGTCCAATTGAGATGTTTTTAAACCATTGAGGGACTTAGTCAAATATACACAAAAAAAAAAAACATCAAAATCGGTCCAGTCGTTTTCGAGTTTTCGCCAGAATAACGGACAGCAATTGATTATTATATATACCTAAGACGGATTAACGGTAAACAATTTCAGACTATTTATGTCCCAGTTATATTGCAAATACGCAATAAGAAGAACGTGACAAACATACGGAACTCACCAAATGAATGATACCGGCTGCGGTCAACCACACCGATATAAATATAGATACTAATTGGGCCAGCCGAATTGAGCTCGATGTCTTTAATATATTGAGGTACTGCAAAATATCAGGCACGGTCATTAAGCGCAGAGCTCGGAGGAACCTCAGCCCTGGAAACAAAGAACAACAGTTTATGATTAAAATGTTTCTAGAAATCAGGCTTCTTGTGTAATTGGATTGTTCCTTTGTATAGCGACATGGAAAAGCTATGAAAATGAAATCGTCAAACAGCAACATATCCCTAGATGATTTGTAGGATATCGTCATCATTACAGCCTTTCACAAGTCCACTGCTGAGTATAGGCTTCCACCAAGGAATGCACACCTCCCACAAAGCACGTTCAAAGTCGGTCGAGCTATGGAGAGGGCTATGCTCGGGGTTTCTCTATATTTTCAACGTGGTAGAGCCATGCTGCAGCTATATTAGTAGTATAGTTGTAGCACGAATGGGTCGGCTCGACCGGGGAAGGACCACGCTCTCACAGAAAACCACCGTAAAATAGCAGCTTAACACTGCTGTGTTTCGTATGGTGAGTGTAGAGAACCGGAGACCCTTTTTACTGGCAGAGGCATTCCATCTTAGTCCTCACGGCTGACAACGCATCTGCATTTTAATTCGCAAATGAAGAGAGATGTAGATGTCTATGGGCCACAGGAACCACTTACCATCAGGTGGACTGTGTGCTCGTTTGTCACCTTTGTTCTATAAAAAAAAAAATCCGCCCTAGAACCAGAGTAACCGACATAGACCAACGTAAGCTGTGTCAAGTAAGCTGACGTGGTAATGGGCCGGCAATATGGCTGTAGGAAATTAATAAAAAAATCAAAAGACTTTATTTTGATATAGAAATATTACAATAAATGTTTCATTGAATCCATAGGCTCCCAAATTAGTGTCAAACTGTGTTTCAGGAGCCAGTGGCTTCTCCCATATCAAGGCACTATTAATTTATGCCTTAGCATGGGGTAGAGTATAATTTATTAAAACTACTTTTATTAACACAGGTATTTTGACTATCACATGCCACTTTATACATAGATCGTTCAATGATATTAATAAAGTTTTGGTACCAGACCTGCAAGGTATGGCAATCACGGGATTAAAATATTACAATATTACATACTGTGCAATTTACTGTCGCAAGCGGTTTTCCTGGACCGATACGATTTAGGGACCTTCAAGAAAAGAGCCTTCTCTAAGTCTCGTTTCTCCTGGTGTTGTAGTGGGTGACAGTGGTCACTTACAATCAGGTGAGCCGTATACTTGTTTACCTCCTTTTCCATAAAAAAAAACTTTTTTCTTCTTTTTTGATACAGGCCTTTTTAATACGGCGAGTGCAAAGTTGACAAACTCGTACTGGTAATGCGAGCAGCATCATCAGGCTCTTAAGATTTAGGTTCGGCATTTTCGAATGGGTATAACTTAGAGTGTAGTGTTAGCTTAGAGTGGCGATGTAAGATTATACTATCCCATATCGTCCAGTGGGTGTCGTAAGAGGCGACAGAGGGAAACAAATCAGAAGATGGGCAGCAGCGTCTTTTCTAATAACGACTTAAAATAAAAATTGGACACAAGCCAGCTTGCAAAGCGTGGAAAATATGGCAAATATGAGGCAATCTAAAGAGAAATCTCAGAGGGAGGTCTATGTTCAGCAGTGGACATTAATAGGATAAACGGTATAGCTTAGATTATACGTTACTTTAGTTACTACCTAAGAAATGTTTACTCTGAAGGTTATGGTATTAACGCCAAGCGTCACTCACTTTAACCTCATTCGATAGGTTTAGGTACTAGATTTTCTAGGTAGTAGGACTGTTTTTATTTTTTATAGGATAGGGTGACAAACGAGTACACAATCCACCTGATGGTAAGTGGTTGCTGTGGCCCATAGACATCTACATCTATCTGCGATTACGAATCATAATGCAGATGCGTTGTCACCTCTGAGGACTAAGATAGAACGCCTCTTTTCCAGTAAAAAGGGTTTTCGGTTCTTTACACTTACCATATGAAACACAGCAGCGTTGAGCTGCTATTTTACAATGGTATTCTGTGAGAGCGCGATTCTTCCCCGGTCGAACCGACCCATTCGTGCTACAACCATAATACAGATGCAGCGTGGCTCTACCACGTATAAATTACCACATACCAGATGTCTATGAGCTGCATTAGACTATTATCATACATCAGGCGTTTTTTATTTTCGTTCGTTACTTAAGTTTTATAAAAAAAAGTTTTCAGAAGTTGTTATATCCCTCCCACTCCCTACGGCACTACATAGCTTAGCTTGTTCTGTCAATAATTATGAAATCAACAAAAAAAAAAAACAAATTAATTAAACATGACTATAATATCGTCAGTTTATCCTTCCAATTTTCCAGTATTTGCGTGATTAATGGGCAATATATTCTTTTCTTTTTTTTTCTTTCTTTCTTATCTTCACGCACAATCCCTGACGGGGTAGCCAGAGAGAACAGATCGCCAAGTGTCACGATCCTTACATACCTCTTTCGCTTCTTTCAGATTCATTATCTTTTTCATACATGCACGTCTAGGTATCCGAGTACTCTTGACCCTACTCTCTTCGAGCAACTTGCTCACATGGTCTTCGAAAGTTAGTCTCGGTCTACCTCGACACCTTTTAATATTAACTTTCGCGCCATATATTTTCTTCACCATTCGGTCTTCACTCATTCGCTCAACGTGCCCAAACCACCGAAGCACGCCCTTATCAATTTTTGTGATAAGGTCATCTTTCAAACCTGCCATATTGCGAATCTCTTCGTTTCGCTTTCGGTCGGCCATGGTAACGCCGCACATTTTACGAAGAGATCGCATCTCCACTGCAATATATTGAATTGTGATGTTTGAATTTCATTCTTAGATAATTAGCAATATACGTTTTCCAATATTTCCCGGATACGTCGTGACGTCACACTTCGATCGAAGTGATGTTACCCTGTAGCACAGTCTAACTACCTTCTTAGGCTGTGCCTGTAGTACCGATTGTGTTACAGGGTTAGTCATATTGACTTTCTAAAATCATTAATGCTAATAAAAAAAAAACTACAAACAAGTGATTTTTATATCTTTATACGTGGTAGAGCCATGCTGCAGCTATATTTCTGGTATAGTTGTAACAGGAATGGGTCGGCTCGACCGGGGAAGGAGCACGCTCTCACAGAATACCAGCGTAAAATAGCAGCTTAATGCTGCTGTGTTTCGTATGGTGAGTGTAGAGAACCGGACCCCTTTTTACTGGAAGCGAGGCATTCCATCTTAGTCCTCACGGGTGACAACGCATCTGCAATTTGATTCGTAAGCGAGGATAAATGTAGATGTCTATGGGCCACAGCAACCACTTACCATCAGGTGGACTGTGTGCTTGTTTGTCACCCCTATCCTATAAAAAAAAAGCGAAATAAAAAAAAATATCACGTTTTTTATCATATCATCTCTTGCATTTTTATTCGAATTTGAGCTATATTTAAAATTTCATGTTACCAGCTCATCTGAAACTTAGTTTAAAATCAATTACTATATTCCTCCTGGAACGGCAGACAAACAATTAAAGTGACTTATTAAAAACGTGGTAAAATGAATAAAATTAACGTTAAGTCACGTAATTGACATATGTCATTCCCATTTATAATTATTATTTTCTATCAGCATTAACGATAGAAGAAAGTCTACTTTCCTAGCCCCGTAGTGCTACGGGCAAGATAAGTGCGGGAGGCGGTCATCGGAAGTGAGTAGGATGATCATCGGTAAACACAACATATGACTCTTGTAAAGTATTATTGTTCTTTGCAGTAAGCTGTAAGATATTGGGTTTTTAATAAAAATATTCTAGTACTATGTTGGAATGTAATTAAGGTTATGACTTACCTATCCACGTTCTATCCAGGTATATCGATACAAAGGAGGGGGGTATTGTGAAATAATCTACAAATGAATACATCTCGAGCATGAACCATAGTTTGTCACTAGCTGCTATAAACTGAAACAGACAAATCATTATTTACATACACCGTAACATAAATCGGAAGTACATAATTTAATAATGAGATTCTCATTTTATATAAACAACTTATTAAATTTCGTTAATTAACTAAAAAAATATCTAAGTATTCATTGAATATTTATACTCAACCACAGATAAAAATTATCAATACGTGACAATTGAAAAAGAAAATAATTGTAAATTTATAGTTTTAATAGTGTTTTATTATAATATATTAGATAAAGTGTTTTATTCATTGCCCATCTTGCTGTACGTCACGCCAAAGTCATGCACGACGCAAGACGCAAAATGACAAAGAGTAGGCTTGTCGTACGTAATAATTAACGTATGTCAAATCTATTCATTGGCGTTTTGCATCGTGCGTCGTACAAGACCTTGGCGGGACGTACAGTAAGATGAACCGTGAATATGGCGCTTAAGATTTTTTCTGAGAAATGGCGTACACATCTCGCCTAATAGAAATTGTCTCTGTACTTTATATATTCAGATTTGATGATGAATAAACAGAATAGGGTCTTTTTATTTCCCAGGACCAATAATTTCAGGTGTTCATCGCTTTTGACACAAAACGAATCAACGTTATAGCCGTCGCATATAAATAAAAATAATCTATGTTAATTGGGCCGCGTTGACTACGGGCTGCAGCAGCTAGTTACCACCAGGTGAACAGTTAGCTCATTTGTAACTGTAATGACATAAAATTTTCACTTTTGCTGTAGTATATTTTCTTAAAGTTTCTTTTTAAATTGCTCCTTTTTAGGGTTAAGCAATCTAGTATCTATTTGTGACAATATCAGTTTGAATTTTTAATATTTTTTTGTGTGTCTATACTTCCGTTTGGAACTATAATATCCTTAACCTTAATCCTTTGATCACTTACTCGTATAAAAAAGTAGACCATAAAAAATATGTTAAAGGCAAGGTCGATCTGCTGAGTAATATTGTCACTCCATTTCTGGCACCGCTCCACCTCCTCACTGGAAATAGAAACGACTAACATAACATCGTCGAAGCGTGCGGGTGACAACAATTACAACAGTATTACGGAACATTAAGTCGTAGTGGCAGAATCAAACATCTGACATTGTTTCAAAATTAAAAAAAAAATATATCACCAATCAACAGCATATTATATAACATGCATGCATGCACATTGCACTGTTTTGATTTACATTTAAAAATTGTTGATAATCCCAAAGAAATTTTACTGTTTTTTTTTTTAATTGCTTTTTTAATGTTTGGTCTTATCAGGTATTCAACTCTGTCATAACGAAAACAATAGTTACATATCAATTAAACATATACCGAAGCCAACGACTAAGTAACAGTACAGCTGATAAAGAAAACACAAGCTAACACAGAATTACTATCCCAGCAAATGTGTCGGATCACATTTATATTAACTTTCAACTCACGTATTCCTTTTTCAGCATTATCACAAGATGGTCATAATTAATAACAGAGCTTAATTACAAAATTATTAACAGACAATTTATACATCTAAATACATACTGTCACGTCAGCGCAGCGAAAATTATTACTTGTGTATTTATACAGTGCTCGCACTCAACCTCTCGTCAGATAGTGCAACGTTCCTTGATCTCAACAATGATCCTTATGTGACTGTAATTTTTATTTATAACTTTAAAATTATTTAAATAATATCTTATAGCGTGTTTTATCTTCCTTATGGTCAGTTTTTTAATCCTTTAAATTGGCTTTTTTATGACTAATCAGAAGGCGTATATTTTTTAAAGAAAATAAGTTATAAAGATTTTTTCATAATTCAAAAATCGTGTTTTAATATCTTGTTTTTACCATTATCACCTAACTACAGATTCTGAAAAAAGTTACATCTGTGCAATCAGTGAATGAAATAAAATGAAAAGAATTTTAGTTAAATCTACTGTAATTATATGCGAACAAGCCATTTGAGTCAAATGCCACGAGTGTATAACATGAGCTCTCATCCCCTTGTATTCAAGATGATGCATCTGCGGGAACCTTATAGTTGTTCTTACATATTGCTTAAATATTTTATGTACTCACATAATATTCTATAGACATACTTATTAGGCAATAATATTTTTCTATCTTTTACTTTCGTTAAGTTAATGTAATTTAGTTTTTATTTTTGGTGAGTAATTATTTATTAGATTGGATTAAAGAACTGTATTTTTCCTAATTTCTTACCGATGTTTTTCTTTTTATGCATATAACCAGCCCATTGGAACATTGTGCTAAAGGCCTAATGGCCCATTACGCTGCAACTGAGTGACAGTGAGTATCTAGGATTAAATAGTATTACGTAAATTACCTGGACGCGTCAATGAAGTAGATGATCAGCGATGCTATACTCAGAATGAACACCAACACTACCTGAAATAGATAAAAACAGTATTGAGTAAAGGTTTAAGGCGAGGATCTTGGTTAACTTTAAAACTATAAGTAATGACCAAACGTAGCAGCTTTGGCAAATGGGGAACATTTGCAATAATTGCCATCTTAGATCTACTATGAGGCAATCCGTTTAGCAAACAATTAGCCGTGTAGGTAGTTTTGATGGGCTGAAATAAATGAATGAATAATGTTATGAATATTACTATTATTATATTTTTGATTACCTATCAATTCATCATATATCAGTGTTACACTCTTGTGGTAGTAGATGAGTGAGTAAAATGAGCTAGTAGTATCAGTTACTCGATTCTACCGAGTCAGAATTCATTCTTGAGGCTATATATACGCTTCTACAACAAAATCCCAGAAAATATACAAAATTTGACCTGCTCAAAGTTCAAAAACTTTATTGAACCAAGTTTGTATGAAAAGGGTCATTATATTAAGGAATTTATGGATGATAATAGCCCCTGGGAATAAGGTAATTGCTACCAAGCTATTTATAATTTACTTTAAGTTGTTAATTGTGTAACATTCATGATTGTAAGCTGTTATTTTTTTTTAAAGTCCCGCTGGGTTTATTGCTGGATCTTCCCTGCACAGGAGTTTTTTTTCAAAACAATGGTAAATTAAACAAAAAAGTGACTGTCAATAAGTATTATTTATAACCTATATTGAATAAAAATGTTTCTGTTTCTATTTCCGTTTCAGTGCGGAAGTTTAATAGACTCGTCCGGCATGCGTAAGGGTTTACCTATACACACAGCGAAAGTAACGCGATATTAAAGCTCGAAACACACGGCCAGTTAAACTGATCAGTTTAACTGATCAATCAAAACGGATGTAAGCCAAAATGATTTCCCCACTAACTGGCTTCAAACTGGCCTTCATTTCTCGATTGACGGAGCCGCGCGCAGACATTCGTTACTTCATATCTGGCTAGCCAACCTCTCACCGCGTCAGTTCGTTGCCGTGAGTTAAAAATTTTAACTTAAGATTTCACACTCACGGTCAGTTTTTTGATGTACAACAGTTCAACTGATCAGTTTAACTGACAGTGTGATGCGGGTATCTTCTTTTCTCTGCTGCTACTGTAGGGTAACCGCGCGCTTGTGTGTGTGTGTGTGTGTGTGTGTGTGTGTGTGTGTGTGTGTGTGTGTGTGTGTGTTGCGAGACGCTTTCATAAAACTTCCGTACTCACGTTCACTCTGATAGTATAGACAAGTCTCAAATTTTAACATCGTTAAGTTTAAGCTCAGGCTCATCTCTGAATACCGGCGAAAGAATCTTAATATGAGTAACGATTGCAGCTGTAACACCTGCGATTATAAAACTTGATTGTTTTGTGCTCACTGCCCCATTAATTTCGTCGGTCGTTAAGTGGCGTCGTAATCTCGTGCTACGTGGGAGGCAGCGGGATACAATAAAAATTAAATTTAAACACTTCAAAAGGCCATTGACTGCTAACGTTCTATTTCAATTATTATTAATAAAATTATACATTTTTAACACAAAAATAAGTGACATGTTGTGACAAATGAACTAACTAACAGTCCATTACAACTTTAACGAGATATATCTACGATGCTTTATTAGATTTACCTATATTTGTAGCGCGAAGGGGCCAGATTGACTGAGGAAGGACCATGCTCTTACAGCCAGGGTAAAATTAACAGCTGCCGTGTTTCCTATGATGAGTGTAGAGAACCAGAAACCATTATTAATGGTAAGAAGGCAATCTTAGTCCTTAGGGGTGATTAATCGAGGTTATTTGTATTCCACAGCACACGCTTACTATCAGGTGGACTGTTTGCTGCTTTGTCATCTCTATTCTATAAAGTAAACTTGACGGTAGCTGGCTCATTCTCTTTCACTATAATATGTGCTACGACAAGATACACTAATATATACCACAGGTCATTTTACATAAGGCGAGATATTATAGATAAATAGCAATGGCTATGCCGCAATCGACGCCACATAATTTCTAGTCCTTTTTTTATGACACCCACGGAATTAGATGGAGATGGTCTCCTCTGTCACTACTACACGAATAAATTGTAATGTACGCTAATCTATTATTTTACCTACGATATTATTACATAAGCCTTACAGTGGGCACGGATCGGTTAAGACGTGTGGGTAGACATTAGACAATTCTGTTTAAATCACTCAATAATTATATTACTGGAAAACGATGTATTTGTGAGCGCAGTTGGCGGCTTTTGATTAGTCGAAATTTGTCGGCAATGTTATTAATTGTTCAGGATCGTGAATAGTAATAAAAACTAGCTTTCTTAAACTTTCTTTCATGTATATATAAAGTTAAATTGTACCTGCTGGAAAATATAGACTACCTACTTGTGAGTTTTTTTGCCGCTTTTTTTTTATAGGATCGGGTGACAAACGAGCACACAGTCCACCTGATGGTAAGTGGTTACTGTGACCCATAGACATCTACATCTATCCTTAATAAAGACTCAAGATGCAGATGCGTTGTCACCCGTGAGGACTAAGATGGAATGCCTCTTTGCCAGTAAAAAGGGTCGCTTCTTCTCACAAGGTCTTTTGTAGTACACACAGTCCACCTGATGGTACGTGGATGCTGTGGCCCATAGATATGTACATTTATCCTTCAGAATCAAAATTCAGATGTGTTGTCGCCTCCTTTTTAGTAAAAAGAGTCTCCGATTATCTACACTCACCATACGAAACACAACAGCATTAAGTTGCTGTTTCACGCTGGTATTTTGTGAGAGCGTGGCTACCCGGGTCGAGCCGACCCATTCTTGCTACTACCATAAGCGTTCTTAAATTTCAAAAGGTAAGGGTGAATTTTAATTAAAAATATTTTTGCTTTGAATTTCATCGTTATTATCATTAACGAGCTTATTCGTTAATCTATACAAATAAATAAAATTGAAGTGTCTGGTTGTAATGTCAAAATAACAATTTTTTACTAAATGAAAGTATATATGGTACTTATAACAAAAATACAAATTTTAAAATTTTTGTCTGTCTGTCTGTTTGTTTCAGCTAGTATCAGAAACGGCTGGACCGATGTCGACGGGACTTTCACTGGCAGATAGCTGATGTTATAAGGAGTAACTGAGGCTACTTATATTTTAGAAAAAGAGTTAGGGTTCCGCGCAATATAACTAAAACTCTAAACTACACGCGGGCGAAGGCGCGCGGAACAGCTAGTAATAAATATAAATAATTAAAAAATATATAAATATTGTATAGTTAGGATAAATGATAATAATAACTACAGTAAGCCAATTAAAAACACTAAGGCAAAATCCGTTCTGTCGTCCATAATAATTAGTTCCTCATATAAACAATCTTTTTATTATAAACAATCGTGTCAGGAATGCAAAGCTACCATTTAATATGCATATGATATGCATTAAGGATTTTAATCGTGACTCGATTCACGCTTACAGAGTCCTTCTGATGTCATCCCTGCAGTCTGTGATATGAGGTGACGCAAGTCTTTATTCCTGCTACTTAAAATGACTCAATGCATAGCATCATCTTCTCGTGCTTGCTTATTTGCTATGCGAATTCTATTAACGCAATTAAAGTTGAACTTTGTTCAATTTTAACCTTAAAGGTGATTATAGAATTGCTTTAAGAGATAGCCTTGCCTGTACAAAATGTACAAATATTAAAATCTATGGTAATTTAATAGTACATAATAAGTAAATTAAAGTAAAGTTGCAGCCTATTTACGTCCCACTGCTGGGCACAGGCCTCCTCTCATTTCTGAGAGGGTTTTAGGGCAAGGAAATGTCCGCCGCGCTGCCCCAGTGCGTGTTGGCGAACTTCACATGTCTTTGAAGTATTTTTTTCTTATTTCTCAAATCACAATGTTTTCCTTCACTGCCGAGAACGTGGTAAATCAGCACTTAAAATTGCAATTAACAATTTCATTACTGCCGGCGGGGATCGAACCCGGGTTGCTCGCGTACTGTGAAGCTTACAGCGAGCGCTAACCATCTGAGCTACCACGGCTCCTATAGTACATAATATCTTGTATTAAATATGCCCAAAAAGTGCATATTTATCAGCAGGCTAATGTAGTTTCATTATCATCATTACGGCCTATCAAACCCGCTGTTACGTAGGCCTTCCCATATATTAACTCATCAGGGAGATATTTACCGTTGCCACGCTTGCTAGCTGCCTACAGGTTGGCAAAACTGCAGCTGTTTTTATTGTTTATTTTTTCATTTAGTTGTTATTAGGAAGACACTCCTGTCCATCTACTCTGTCGCCTCTTACGAAACACACGGCACGATATTGGGTAGTGAATATTCTTACTTCGCCACCAATATTAATATATAAATTATATTATATAACAACTATTATAAACAACTTTCTTTTTTCTTTCCTGAATTCTAATAAGGTTTCTTAATTCAGGGTAGTGTAACACGTCTATAATTATTATATTCTTTGGTGAAATTGCAATCCTACGTTTGCATTGTTTTGACAAGTAGACGTATTACGGATTACGATTTGCTTCACTGACGTTAACATGCTAAATTAATGATCGACAAAACCTCAAGACAAAACTGAGGTTTATAGGTTATTGGCAGATCTTTTTGATCGAGAAAACAGACTGTCGAGAGTCAAAAACGATGGACGAAAATCGAGCAAATCTGTAATCACCATTATGTAGATTAATATGAATTCTATGTTTAACTGTCTTTTGCTAATGAACGGAATGCATTTAAAAATTTTACCCACCTTATTAAAAATACAAAAGTCAAGAAGATTAAGAAGAATAAGAACGTTATATTTAATTAAGGAAAGAAAGAGTTACACGCCATACGGCATTGCACACACGACACATCTTAAACACCTTAAACACCTAATGGATTAAAATTGATAAAATGTTAAAGTTAGCTGGTGCGTAGAGTAAAATCGCAAGTGAAATCAAGTCTGTAAGGTGGGTGGCCCAAAGGTTTTTTTTG